ATTTTTTGGTTGCAGCCATCATTGTTGTTTGGCGGGCCCGGGCTGGGGATTCGAACCCGCCACCTTAGGTGTACGTGGCTGGCACCTTAGCCGCTTGAGCCACAGGCGCTGAGCCGAAAGTTTACTTTTAATAACTTATTTGCAATATCTTATTCTGTTAAACCATTTCTATAATCCTACCAAGTCATTAATAACATAAATCTATTATAGAAAATTTCAAAACACATCTTCCAAACTAAAAATCACATTTTAGTCATTTCATTAACTCTGAACAACATGGTTTTGAACTGTGTGGGTGTTACGGGCAGCTTTTCTTCTACCTCTGCCATCATCTCATGATGATCCACTTCCACTTAATGAATAGTAAATATATTTTCTCTTCCTTATGATCTTCTTGGTAACATGATCTTTTCTCTAGCTTACTTTACTATAAAAAACAGTATAAATATACAAAATTTGTGTTAGTTGTTTATGTTATTTGTAAATCAACAGTAGGCTATTAGTAATTAAGTTTGGGGGCAGTCAAAAGTTATACATGGATTTTTGACTGCACAGGAGGTCAGCACCCCAACCCTCATTTTGTTTAAGGGTCAACTGTATGGATGACTTCTGTGTGGGAGACATTATGCATAGTGGTAGGTAGAGGTAGAAACAGAATTGAGATGTAATTCCTAAAAAAGAAAAATATTAGGAACTATAACATTAAAATGTGACATACTATATGTCTACAGGAATATGAGAGTGAGTCTAAGAAAAGAGACAACTGAATTGCATTCTCTAAAGTCTTCAATCAGCTGGACCAACAAGGGCAGAAGACGGAAAGAAACAAACAAAGGCATAGCAGGGGTCCTCAAACTTTTTAAACAGGGGGCCAGTTCACTGTCGCTCAGACTGCAAGCCCCAGGACGACTCGGCTGCTAAGCAGGACAGGCAGTGGCAGCAAAAACACCCAGCAGGCCAGACAGATGTCCTCGGTGGGCCGCATGTGGCCTGCGGGCCATAGTTTGAGGACACCTGGCATAGAGGGATAAAGACAAATAAAACTAATGGCTTAACAGTTAGTGTTGGTGAATAAATGCTAAAAATGTGTGAGGAGTGAAGGGAAAGAAGAGGAGGACAGGAAAAGGAAATGGAAAACAAAGTAAGCATATACCAAAACCACGCAAGAGTCTCCATGCAGCAGAGTCAACTGGCTTCAGAAGTGATCTTTTCCTGCCCCACTGATCCAAGTACCTGTCTCCCTAAACTGTGCTTCGTGGAAGAGAACCACCTTTGCAGACAAAAATAACTTTTCCCTGAAATATTCCCTGGTGTTGGCCACATTCCACTAAGATGCATATTACTTTGCAGTTTAACATCTCCTAAATCTCAAACCATTTTCCAGTCACGGTTCAATTAGCACCTTTTTTATTTTCTTTTTTACTGGTACAACTGTGACACCTTGGTAGGGTCACAGTGTATGGCACACCTCTTGCGGGGATGGGACACAATTATAAGAGGGACTTTATCTAACAAATGCAATCAGTGTAACCTAATTTTGTGCCCTCAGTGAATCCCAAATGACAACAAAAATAATATAAATAAATAAATAGTGCTCAATAAATGTTACGTGTATGAATAATAAATCATAAAAATGGACAAAGGAAGAGTTGGACCATTTTGGGGGTACCAAAAATAGGGCCAGATGCAAAAATGTAATGGGCTTCTCAGGATTTATTATGAGATATTTATTTCATAATATATTAATATTCACTAATTTTGCTTTAAAACTTTGCCAAGTAAATAAACTTTGAAAACTAGAACCTAAACCAAAAATAGAAACCGACAAAATGAGCAAAGACAATATTGTTGTTATGCATTTTTTTAACATTTAGAACAAACTTAAGCAATCAACATACTTTGCATTAATAAAATTGCTTTCATTAATAAAATAAATTTTACAACTTCCTTTTATTTGATAAAAGGATTTTCACATAGTGTCCCCCATAGGTTTTTAAACTAGTTTACGCAGAGAAAGAACATTTGCTACCTAATGAAAGCTGTATGAAGCCTGAGCTGAGTATATGAGTTGTTTGAGTCTGAGGAATACAACATTCCCCATTCCCACAGGTAACTAAAATAATACACCCCTCATTCTCTTACACTACCCTAAGCTTTATTTGTTGCCACAACACTGATTACCACCTAGACCTAATACTCACTTACAGTCTATCGCTCCCTTCTTGATTTAAGCTCCATGTGTTATCTCCTTTCCTGCTGTATCTTGGACCTAGATGGGTGTCTGACACATTAGTTAATCAGTAAATATGTGCTGTTTGAAAAAAGAAATGAAACAATACAATTTGAAAGATAGACTTCAGAAAATTATAGAAAAATATTACTGTATTTTGACAATTCACAAATATGCAAGTAACTTTTGTAATGAACCACATGGGTTATTATTCTGAGAGCTTACACATTGTGTGTACTTGCATAAGGAAAACAGCACTGAGATAATAAACAAAAGCAAGGGCCACAACATCCAAGTTGCTGGTCGTTCAACTTTTTCTGTTGCCAAACAAGGTTTACTCAACTTTCCACTATCCATATGGTTATCTTCCTTTATTCTACTCTCATAATCACACAAAAATGGCAAATACTATTTGAAGAAGAAATTTATTGCAACAAAGCTCTCATTTCCCCTACACATATAAGCATTTAGAATTATTTTTTGCTCAGTTTTCTTAGCTATTTCTTTTACTTATGTTCTACATTCTTCTACCCCATCAATTCATTACCTTAATTAGCTGAGTAAGGGAACTATGTCTTTTCAGTACCAAAAATTCTTTGTGCGCTCCTGAAATCTCATTAGATATATTTCTTAGTTTCATTTAAATATTCAGTTTGTGTTCTCTAGCAGCTGTTTTCCTAGGCATGTGCTTTAACTGTGTCTAGATCTTCTTTCTAGAACAGTGCAACTCAAAGTACCAGTCAGAACATAATAAGGGCTTGAGCCAGAATGTAAACCAATCCTCTATACCGTTCCTAGGACAAACTGGCAGAACTAAACAGTGGGCACAGAAACAGCTAATTTACATTGAGTTACAAGAATGGGGAAAAAAGTATCCAATGTACTCAGCCCTATTATAAAACTAGTTTATAGCTTTTATATGAAAGCTATGACCTAATTATAGCTTAAGAATATGGGGAGGCAGGAGGGGGGCGAATGGGTGATTGGTGGGATCACCTCTATGGTTTATCTTACAAGGGTACAAGGGAATCTTTCTAAAAGCAGAATATAAACGTCTTAACACAATAACTAAGAAAATGACATGAAGGTTATGTTAATCAGTTTGATGAAAATATTTCAAATTGTATTTGAAAACACCACATTGTACTCCAAGATTGCATTAATGTACACAGCTATCATTTAATTAAAAAAAAAAAGTAAAAATAATTTACATTGAGTTAAGCTTATCTCCTTGAGGGCAAGTAACGAACAATGTGCAGATCAGCCAGTTGTAAGAATAACATTCTTACTCCTGAACACTATTGTCAAACTGACAATGAAAAATAATTAACAACCTACAATTCTATATCCAGCTAAATGATCTTTTAATACCAAGTACTGAGATAGACTATTAGTAATTCCTTAGTGAAATAAACACTAACGGAGTAATAAGAAACAATATAAACCCAAAGGAAGCAATGGTAATAACATAGTAAACATAAACTTGACTCCAACCTTATCTCAGAATCCACATCTTTACTTAAGAACTTAGGTCTTGTATTTTCAGATGAATAATAACGTCCTGCAAAAACTTGATCACCATCAGCAGTAAAAGCTTCTCTACAATTTTTCGGTGGCTTCTGGGCCTGCATTACTGCACGAGCTACAGAATTATTCTAAAAAAAAATAGGAGAAAATATGTTTTTAAGGCTGTAAGAAATCATTTCTGATGTACATAATTTCAAAATGTTACCTATCATTATTGTATTCATTTGAATATTTTTATTTAAACATTCAAATGAAATAATTCTATAAATATAAGAATTTCATAAACAACTTTCAAGGTTTAAACAGTTAAAACCGTTAAAGAGTTTTTGCGTAATACTTCATGACAAATGCACTTTTTTCCTGAGAAAGAGTCTCACTTTGTGGCCTTCAGTAAAGTGCGGTGGCATCACAGCTTACAGTAACCTCAAACTCTTGGGCTCAAGAGCTCAACCTCAAAAGCTTTGCCTCAGCCTCCCAAGTACCTGGGACTACAGGCGCCCACCACAATGCCCAGCTATTTTTAGGAAGGGAGTCTTGCTCTAGGCTCAGGGTAGTCTCCAACTCCTGAGCTCAGGCAATCTACCTGCCTCAGCTTCCCGGAGTGCTAGGATCTCAGGTATGAGCCACCATGCCCAGCCCCAACAAATGTACTTTTTAAATTCTAGAGTTGCTGTCCAATTAAAATTTTACAATATTGTAAGTACCTTTTTAGGTGAAAATAATCACTTTGGGCCAGTTCATACAGATTATTTTTTCTAAATGACTTTACACCCTAGAAAAGATCTGAGTGAATAGCAATTCCAACAAAAGACTAGTATACCCAATTATGCAGGGAAAACATGAAAATATTTAAGTCCTGAAGGAAGTAAAGACGAGGCTTCATTATTTTTTTTTCAAGTACTCTTCCAAAATATGAGCAAGCCAAACTCACAATCATAATATGAACATACACATGGGTTATTGAGACTATTACTTTTCTTTTCTTCTTTTTTTTTTTTTTTTTTTTTGCAGTTTTTGGCCAGGGCCTGGTTTGAACCTGCCACCTCCAGTATATGGGGCCAATGCCCTACTCCTTGAGCCACAGGTGCCACCAGAGACCATTATTTTTCTATCAATTAGAAAAGCAGACTCATTTATGTGTGCCTTCATTACAAAATTGTTTGAATCTATTTGTCCCTTCTCAGCAAACATATGTCGTCAGAAAAAACAATATGGTGATCTGATCTACCAAGTACATAAAAATACATACAAAGATGAAGAGTATTGATTTATTTCACAGAGTACAACGTTATATGAAAAAAAATTTGTAAAATATCAAGCAAAGTACTTCATTTCAAAATTGGAGTAATAATAATGTACGCCTGTAAGGGCAAATAAAAAATGGATTTGGCCACCAATCAAGAGAGAATGAACAAAATAAATTTTATAGTGCCATACACCAAAAGAGTAATATCCATTTGTGAAATTATTTTTCAAAGAATAGCTGAAAGTTATAAAGTTCCTGGGGGCAGAAAATGCAAAACCCAACCAGCTCCGCATCATCCTATAGATTGTCCTGTGAGGGGAAAGTGCAATGGGGAAACACATCAACAACTCTATGAGAAAAGAGGAACAAAAATTTATGTGACCATCTTTAGTTCTAAACACTTAAGGAAGATATAAAATACAAGGATCTGGTCTTACTTTGATTAGTAGCACTGTCTCTATGCCCCTCATGTCAATTAGGCTATTTGCAACAACTGCATTATCTATTTCCAAAGCTGTTAGAACTGTTGGAAACTCTGGATGATAAGCAGCTCTAGGAGACAAAAATACAGAAAGTTAAACATCAAATTATAAATATACATATGATAATCATATGTACTTTATTTTTTAATAGGTGAGTAGATTAAGATTACAGAAGATTGTTTAAAAACTATCTATAATAGGCTTATTTATTTAGCGAACATTAATATAATACTATGTGCTAGACACTATTCCAAGCGTACTATAACCATCAGCTTAATCCTTCTAACAACCATGTAAGATAGATACTATTCTCTCTCCACTTTCTGCCATATGAAGATGCTTCATGAAGTGTAACGTGTTCCCCAGCATTATAAAGCTAGTTAAGTGGTTAGGCTAGGGTTTACAGCAAACAGCTCTAGAGCCCAGATTCTTTTTTTTTTTTTTTTTGAGAGAGAGAGTCCCACTCTGTCACCCCAGGTAGAGTGCTGTTACATCATAGCTCACAGCAACCTGAAATTCCTGAGTTTGAGCAATCCTCGTGCCTCAGCCTTCAACTATATGAGCCAGTCACAACACTCAGCTAGTTTTTCTTTTTACTAGAGATGGTGGTCTCACTCTTGCTCAGGCTGGTCTCGAACTCTTGAGCTCAGGTAATATGCCTCAGCCTTCCAAAGTACTAAGATTACAGGCATCAGCTGGTGCATCAGATTTTTTTTTTTTTGTAGTTTTTGGCCAGGACTGGGTTTGAACCCGCCACCTCCGGCATATGGGGCCAGCACCCTACTCCTCTGAGCCACAGGCGCCACCCAGGCATCAGATTCTTAATCAATATGCCCAGCAGCCTGCTGTTTGCTTTTTCTGTCTGTCTGTTTTTGAGACAGAGACTCATCTATTGCCTAGGCAACAGTGCTATGGCATTAGCCTAGCTCATAGCAACCTTAAACTCCTGGGCTAAAGAGATCCTCTTGCCTCAACCTCGTGAGTAGCTAGGACTACAGATGCCCCCCCCAATACTCAGCTAATATTTCTATTTTTAGTAGAGATAGGGGGTCTCGGTCTTGCTCAGGCTGGTCTCAAACTCCTGAGCTCAGGGCAGCTTCCTGCCTCAGCCTCCCAGAGTACAAGGATTTTTTTTTTTTTTTAAGAGACAGAGTTTCACTTTGTCACCCTCAGTAGAGTGCCGTGGTGTCACAGCTCATAGCAACTTCCAGCTCTTGTGCTTAGGTGATTCTCTTCCCTCAGGCTCCCAAACAGCGGGGAATACAGGCACCTGGCACAACACCTGGCTATTTTTTTGTTACAGTTTGGCCAGGGCCGGGTTCGAACCCTCCACCTTCAGTATATGGGGCCAGCACCCTACTCACTGAGCCACAGGTGCCACCCAGAGTGTAAGGATTATAGGTGTGAGTCACAGCACCTGGCCCCAGCTACCTGTCGTAATTAATAATTGTGATCTTATTAAATCTTATACTTTTATCATGTATAAATATTAAATTATTAAAATACATTTGAAATAGCTAAACACTTCCACTGACGAGATAAGAAAATCTGAAATAAAGTTTATCATCAACACAGAGGAAATACGAGAGAAAAGATACTCTTATGAGTTGCAGTTTGACCTCTTTAAAGAGACATTTAATCTTTCGACTAAACTGTTGAGAGCTATTCACAGCACAGAAGAATGAATATACTAAGCATATAGCTATAAGAGAAATGAAAGGCTAAAGGAAAGATGATGGTAGTATTTGTAGTGCTTTCTTAGTTCTAGAATTCCAAAAAAAAAGTTTTCGTAGTCCTAGAATTCTAAAATAAACAAAGTGCCTTTGCACATATTATGTTATACCTAGTCATTCATCCACTAATTCAACACGTATTTATATCTATCTGCCAGAGCTACTCAAACAGCAGTATACAAAACAGACTACATCCTTTCCTCATGGAGCTTACATTATGTTTAACAGGAACACAATAAAGCAAAAGAAAGAATAGAAAAGTAGTAGCATATAGTGCTTTTATACACAAAAAAGATCAGGAAAGCCTCACCACGGTGAGCCAACACCTGAGGAAATGGGATAGTCGCGTAAGTATCCAGAAGAAACGCAATTCAGATACAGAAAACAGCGATCATAAAGGCCCCAAGAAGGACATCAGAAAAGCAAGGAGGCCAGAGTGTTGTGGTGGACTGAGCAAGTCAAGGAGAGAATCTAGAGCAGCGGTTCTCAACCTGTGGGTCATGACCCCTTTGGATTTTATTAAAGGTTTGCGGCATTAGGAAGGTTGAGAACCACTGATCTAGAGGCAGGCCAGGAAAGATGGTAAAAAAAAAAAAAAAAAAAAAAAAAACAGATCATGCATGCCTAGAAGTCATGGTTAGGCCTATGCGAAGGGAAATGAATGGGAAGTTTAGGGCACTCTGAGCAGAAGGATGACACAATCTGGTGTTACACTGGCAGGTTATAGTGAGACTGAGCTAACCAGAAGCAATCAGGAGTTTGGCTTTTAGACACATTAAGTTTGAAATGACTGTTGGTATCTAAGAGGAAAATACATACTGACAATGCTTTAAAGCAAACTGTATACTTAGTTTAAATTCAAGTGCAACTTGTTTTAAGTACAAGTTTAGAAAGAATAAGGCACAGGTGTTCTAGAAATGTCAAGCAGTCCATGAAACAAAGTAGAAAATGAGGAGACAAAGAAAGAGAATGGGAGGTACGAGCTTTGGATGAAATGCAGACCCTGGGCAGCCTACTGAGAGCACAGGTTTCTACAGCAGGAAATAGGAACCAGTTCTGAACAGGCACGTGCCATCATGAGATGGAGCTGCTATTACTAGTCTGCTCTAAAGTGCCAAATCACAACCACCCCTTCCTTTTACTACTCTTCCCTGGGACTGATTTCATACTAGCTTATATGATGATTATTGGTATGCTGAGAGATACTACAGAATCAGTCTCAGAAAATGAAAGTTTTCTACTTTTCATTTAGAATATTAGCAATGAGATGTCAGTGACAAGAGACAAGGAGCAGATACTATGAAATCAGTTTACCAAACAATGTCAAGTAGAAAGCCTAATAGAACACAAGAAGAAAGGAAAAACTGCATATAAAATCTAGGCAAGCACAACTGGCCTCACTGGTACGAGGAATGACAAAACAAAATGATTTCAAGACCCTGATTACGCGTACAGAAGTCACTGAATATAAACAGGGGATTTCTAAAGCCAAGTAAACAGGTAAACATACCACAATCAAATATAAAATATTTAAAAAAATGCTTAAAATTTGGTTTATTTTTAATGTCTTCAAATATAAGAATAATACGTAAAGTGAGACGTGTTAACAGACCAAGAACAGAGCTGTGAGACACACCATGATCAAAGGAGTAGATGAAAAAAAGCCCAGAAAATAGGCTGAGAAACACCTGGAGGGTAGGAGAGCCAAGAAAATAGTGTCACAGTAACAAAAGGGATAGTGTTTCAAGGAAGTCAAGGAAAGTGTATTTAGTAATACCTAAGGCCTAATATAAAATAAACACACACCCCAAAATATACACATATATCCATTAGATCAGCAACAGGGACTGAGTATTTCAGAGAGCAGACAGTAGTGGGTCAAGGAGTGAATGCGGTCACCCCAGGAGGAGGTTATTTTTAAGAGGAGATAGGCAAATCAGTGACCTAGCATGGACAAGGGGAAAGCAGTCAATGGAATAGGAAAGCGTAAGGCTCAGTCAGGAGAGAGTTGAAATAATTTTAAAACATGGTTCATGAGCAAGGTAAGAAAGAAAGTATGTAATTCAGGCACAAGTAGCACAGCCTTAGAAGAATATTTCCTCCACTGAGATGCGGCAACAAGTGCAAACGTAAACACGGTTCTGAGGACGTCACAAGATGAGCAGCTCAGTCACTTCTACTTCCTCTGAAAGGAGGAGACAAAGTCATCTTCGTAGGAGAAGAAATTACATTTTCTGAATACCTCCCTGGGAGCTGGGCACCTCCTAGGTACCTGTGCTGAGATTATCTAATATACGCTTCCATGAATAAAGTAAGTTTCTGTTAGCATTAGAACCACAATTTATACCAAAAAAATTTTTCATAGTCACTAAAGTTGACAGAATGTCAAACACATTCAAGACTCTTGCCAACACACAAAAGAATTAGAATCTAACTTCTTCTACTACTCCAAAAACATGTGCTTCAGCAATCTACTCTTGAAGCCAAAACAAGACTTAGTCATCATTTGACGTGTTACATTCAATTCTCAATTCTCTTCCCACAACCCTCTCTCCTCTGGGCTTGCCATGCCTGTTGAGTCGGCTCTCTAACTTCACTACGGTGGGTTTCCCTTCCAGGGCTCATTTTCTTTGAACTACTGTCCCAACAGCTTCCCTTCTCCTCTTCTGTGCTCTCACTCACCCTTAAAAACTTCTGATGGAGTATTAACCTAACAGGACATACTTTCCACTCATGTCTATAGGTGAACAAACATTATTATTGAAACATCCTGCAGTCACCATAGATTTCTGTGTCTGAAGTAGACTTTTGAGTCAGTTTCTCTCATTCTCCTTAGCACCCAGGCTAAACCCTTAAATAGAAAAACTCCCAAACTTCCTACCCAACTTCCAAGGCCCCTGTTCTTGGCACATGAACTCACCTACTTCCAAGGAACTGACATTACACCACACGAACCTAGCTCACCTTCACACCCTGCCACAGGACTCCCTGTGTCATGGATACACTGTCAAGTGACTAGAAACACACTTGCCAGCAAGACAGTGCCAGGCATTCTCTCCCTTCATGGGGGTTCTTGTGGTGGTTCACAGAACAGGCCACCTAGCTTTCTAGGACTATACTTTTTGGTCTTAGAATGATAATTTAGGTTTAAGGAAGATATTCTTCACAGAAGCCTGTATCTCCCATAACAACTTCATAGAAATGGTTTCCACGTTCCTTACAAGGTACCAAATATAAGTAAGGGTCACCATACTGGTGCCCAACCCCATGTTTAGAGTTCTCCCAGTTCAGACACAATGAGCCTATCAAGGGTCATTTTTACCATAAATGTTGTGTTGTCTGATAGCACAACTAAAATTACCCTTTCATTAGGTTTTTTTTTTTTTTTTGAGACAGAGCCTCAAGCTGTCCCTCTGGGTAGAGTGCTGTGGCATCACGCTCACAGCAACCTCCAACTCCTGGGCTCAAGCGAGTCTCCTGCCTCAGCCTCCCAAGTAGCTGGGACTACAGGTGCCTGCCACAGCTCCTGGCCATTTTTTGGTTGCAGCCATCATTGTTGTTTGGCGGGCCTGGGCTGGGGATTCGAACCTGCCACCTTAGGTGTATGTGGCTGGTGCCTTAGCCGCTTGAGCCACAGGCGCCAAGCCTCATTAGGTTTTTGAAACCGAAATGAGAGCAAGAAATTAACATAAGGTCAAATTCTCATGCAGACAAAGAAAACACCTAGGTTCCAAACACCTAGGTTACCGCTAGGTTCTAAACTAACAGCTTAAAACCAACAATTATGGCTCGGCGCCTATAGCTCAACCGGCTAAGGCACCAGCCACGTACACCTAAGGTGGCGGGTTCGAATCCCCAGCCCGGACCCGCCAAACAACAATGACGGCTGCAACCAAAAAATAGCCGGGCGTTGTGGCGGGCGCCTGTGGTCCCAGCTACTTGGGAGGCGGAGGCAGGAGACTCGCTTGAGCCCAGGAGTTGGAGGTTGCTGTGAGCTGTAATGCCACGGCACGCTACCCAGGGGGAGAGCTTGAGGCTCTGTCTCAAAAAAAAAAAAAAAAAAAAAAAAACCAACAATTATAAGACTTATACACTTTGATGAATCTATTTTTATAAATTATATTTCTCATAAATTGATGGCATAACCTTCAGCTAATTACTGCAGGCAGAAATCTAGCAGTCATCCTAATTCCTTCTTTTCTTACATTCAATTAACAAGTTTTACTGATTTTTGTCATAAGTATCTGTCAATCTATTCATTCCTATCAAATCTGTAGACACTGTGTTTTGCAAAATAACTTGCAAGTCATGCTTCCATGGGTTTTGCACACAGAATTCTATTTGTCTAGAAGGGAAAAAACTTTTTCTGTCAAACTCATCAGTTAAAAAACTAATCATTTATCATCTCTTCTCTAAAATTATCCCCACCAAAGTACATATGAGATATTACTCTCTCATCTGAACTACAACTGCATCTAATAATTCAATTTTATCATTGTCTACAAAAAATATACAAGACAATTACTGTTTATACACAAATTTATTCAAATATGAGGAACTTAGTTTTATAATTAATTTTTTAAAAAGGCAAAAATATAGCCTAGCACAGTGGCTCATGCCTATAATCCTAACATTCTGGAAGGCTGACACAGAAGGGCTGCTTGAGATCAGGAATTTGAGACCAGCCTTAGTTGGCTGTGGTGGCAAACTAGCTCCAGCCCCTCGGGAGGCTGAGGCAGGAGGACTGCCTGAGCCCAAGAGTTTGAAATTATATACAGTGAGCTATGATGATGCTACTGCACTCTAGCTAGGTGACAGAGGAAGACTCTGTCTCAAAAAGGACAAAAAAGGGGGGGGGGGCAAAAATAGCTTTATGTAAAAAAAACAAGGAGATGAGAGAGCAAAGAAATTTTAAAATGCAATCTGGGGATACCAATATCTATTTTTATTGAGTTCCTGAAAAGAAATGTCGAGGTTGTCAAAGAAAACAGTTACAACTCTTCATAGAAGTCTGTGAAACTGTGGGTAATGAGGGCCAACGTCTTCCTCAGGACCTCCCTGTTAATTTGATTAGATCTGCATCATTTCCCTCATTGGTATAATTCTTATATGCCATACAGTGATATATTTGTTTCCCAATACTGTTTCCCACCTGTCAGGACTTCACAGGGAATATCTCTTAGTTATTTATGTTTCTCCAATGCCTAGACAGAAATTAAAAGTGGCTTGGTAAAATTCTGCAAATCAGTAGTAAAGATATGATTAACACTGCAAGTGTTTTAACTCTTTTCAATCTTGCACGTGATTTAGCAAACTAGAAACAGTATTTAATTGTTGATTCTTTACCTGTGTCTTACATCATACATCTCATTCCGAAATTCAGAAACTATTATCTGTGGCCGTGAGGTCCCCGGTAAATAAAATCTTTTCATCAGTGCCTGAAGGACTCTTTCATCAGCATGGTTATGGCAACAATAGGCTTGTAGAAGTCCTTTCAAGCAAGATTCAATAGCCAAAGCAAGCTCAGGGTCCCGAAGATGAATGCAAGCTCCTAAAAGCAAGAGAAAAATGTAGAAGGGCTCATAAGCACTCGTTCACAATAGTAATATAACTATCTGTCTATTTTATTTCATAAATGTCTTTAAAAGTTTTTTTTCACATAAAGTAGCTTAAATAATATTACAGATCTTGTTTTAAGTGAATGGGAAATCTCCATATAACCACTAGATACACTGAAGAGAAAACTCACCAAACCTTGTGAAAAAAATTGCCGCACTCTAATGTAAGCCAGCAGCAGCTTTCCTATATAAGTTTGTATTATTCCAGCCTCTCAATGGTATTTGAAAAATTAAGTCAAACAATTTGTAGATTCCTTTTTTTTTTTTTTTTTTGCAGTTTTTGGCGGGGGCTGGGTTTGAACTTGCCACCTCTGGTATATGGGGCCGGCTACTCCTTTGAGCCATAGGCACTGCCCAGATTTGCAGATTATTATGTCCTGTAAAGCTGGTTAATATTGAAATTGGAGATTTAGAGATGAGGGAAAAAAGCCTCATTCACTGAAACGGATCCTGTTGTAAAGGTTCATAAATCATTTAAATGAAGAGACATCATTGTAACTGTTAAATGTAATACTTTACTAATGAGATATATTTATATTTATAGCATCATTTTCACCTAATGATGTACAGAATTAGAGAGAATTATCAAGGAGAAATTGACTAAGAATAGTTTTTAAAATACCGTAAATATATGGGAATAAATAACCACAGATTTTAAGGCTAGAAGAGAACTTAGAAATCATGTAGTCTGACCTAAATAGAAACTATGAAAGTCATTTTACAAAGGTTAGAAAAATTCCAGTGAGTGTCCTTGATGCTGGATTTACCAGTACTAGATTTTCTGATTAATAAATCATACTTAAGTTAGTTTATTCATTTATTCATTCAGGAGAAAAATAAGAACCAGATTATTCAACCCTATCATTTCTTTTCTCCTTCCTAAGTTCTCTTTCTTTGGCTATTTTATGCTTTAAAAATACAAAATAAAAGCTACAGAATTTAACATGATTTTATTACTTTGTTATTTGAAGTAAAATTACTGTATTTTTAAAAATACGTTATTAGTAAAATTCACATGTAATTATATAGCTCTTTAATAAGGGAATTTTAAAACTAGATTCAAAAAGACCCCTTTCAGAAAATAAACTTATTTGTAATGTTTATTATATCCACAATTAAAACATGGCAAATACCTAAAGGGCCTACAGGTTTGTAGGTAAAACGTCCTTGTCTGTAAGCATCATCTATTGCTTCAAGAAGAGCTGGAACCTGGGGACCAAATCTTTTTAGTTGATCAGTTTTACTGTCTTTCAATTCTTTCAGTCGCCTCTGATTATAGTTCAGTATATGCTTCACATCTAATTCTTCCCTCCTGAAAAACAAAAGTAGATAAACAGGACAGATATGTGACACAGTTATACAGAAATACTTTGCTACTCAGCCTTTGCCTATCATATCAGCACCAATGAATGACCCAGCTACCCTAAAAACTAAAAAAGCAATTCTTTATTTGAACATGGTGTTACCAGAGAAAAACAGTCAAGAAGTCTTCAAAACTCAGCAGGAAAAATTTGACACACAGTGATAAACTAGGAATCCCAGAAATTGTTCAACTCAGTAAGTATCAAAGTTATTAAAAAGTGATTTTAGAAGATGCCTTATTATCTAGAAAAAAACGACTTTTTCTTTCTTTTTGCAAATGAAGAGCAAAACTATGTGATGCTCAAGTGATTGAAAAAAGTCATTCTAAGGTTGCAACTTACTTAATTCTGGCATATTCTTCTTTGTCTTTTTCTATGGCTTGTTGAAACTGTTCAATGTCTTGACTGACTGAAGTTTCTTGATCCTGTAAGGCCTTTATTCTCTCTTTTAACCAAGATATTTTTTTTTGCCTTTCCAACCGCTCAGGTTCCAAAGATTGATCAGTACTAACAGTAAATAATCCAAAGGGAAAAGTGTTAAATAAAAAACCTAACATTTAAAAAAAGCAAGCCAATGTAATAAAATTCTAACAATACAGAAACTATAATGCCCTATTGCACCTAGATTACTTTATCACAAAATGAAGTAATCATGAAAACGGCAAAGTAACTATCTTACCTTTTTTTAAGTTCTTCAATTCTTTTACAAAGCTCCTCATCATCTTTTTTTAATGCCTTATATTCATTTAGAGAACGATTATATAAAACCTAACAAAAAGTTAGACATGCTTTAGTAAAATGAAAAGATAAAGATCCCAGTCAAGTCCATTTCTGCCAAATCTCCAAGTTAGAGGCTGAATATGTGCAGAAATATATTTTTTAAATAAAATACATAAATGGTCATTTGAAGTCGGAAAGCAATACAGATTTCAACCCAGGTACAGAACATTTACTTTTAAAAGAGATCAACAGTCCTTATATTTGCTACACAGCTTTTAACAATCTAGATTAGAAGAGTTCTCTCACCTCAGCTTCATTATAGGCCCTTTTCTTAGCAGTGACCTCTGCTTTCAATGCCATACACTCTGGAGCTCGTGCGTTTGTCTCTTGACTAATCTTTTCTAGTTTATCTTGAATATCCTTGTACCTTTTTTCTGCTTCATTAAGTCTAACCTTTAAGAAAATAACATTATTGAAGTATATTTTTTCTTTGATAAAGAGAGAACAATTAAAAATAATTACACTTAGTTCATATCCTGGAGAATAAAATTAATTTCATTCAAGACACTAAGTAAACAAACATAATCATATAAAATACTAAAATATAATTTAACATTTAGTTATCCAACAAATTTGTTATCCTCTGGGCATACAAAGATATAATAAAGTAATTAAAAGGAGACAGACAAAATTTAGTAGAGAAACAATACGAACTGATGATATAGTTTATATATAACAATGCTTACATAGGGCATACCGATTTATAATTGTGGTAAAACAGAGAAAGAACCAGAGGTCTTCCAGAAAAAGTCGAGAACACCTTCAAAAGACAGTAGCATTTGAACTGAGATGTGAAAGATCAAAGTATATATCAGCTGATAATTTAGATAAGGGTGTTGGACACAGATGGAAGAGCATGTGCAAAGCTATTAACATCTATTTTAGAAACTAAAAATTTTGCTGGGCTTCAGAGGGTAATAATGGGAAATGAGATGAAGGGGTAGAAGGGCCCTACATTCCATAATGAACAGCTTACAACTTAATTCTCTAAACAAAGTGAGAGAAAATATGATCAAAAATCCAAGTTACAGCACTCTGGAAGCACTTGGAAGGCAAAATAGAGGAAAATTAACAGAAAAGACTTCAGTAAACAGTTAATATAATATTACTACATTCTAGCCTGGGTGACAGAGTGAAACTCTATTTCAAAAAAAGAAAAAAAAAAGAGAGAGTTGCTAAACAGGCTTTGGAAAAAGGTTAGGTCTGCTTCACCTGAGTAATAAATTCAAACACAGATACATATATTTGAATATATGTTGATACTGCCACTTTGTGGGTCACAAGTAGTCTATCAGCAATTTCTATGATTCGACGTACCAAAGCTCTTTATTTTAAAAACTGTAATTACCTGCTGTTCATCCATTTTCCTGTCAAGCCTAGCAGCACGGTCTTCTCCAATTGTGATATTATCTCTGATTGCATTCAATTGTTTTTCAATTTCATTGACCTAAAGAAGAAATCATACAGCAAATCACTGATAATATCAACAATATCCAAATATATTCTACATACACAAACATATGTGAACAAGTAAGTAAGTGAAAATTACCACTGCCCAAGCCATTTCATGTTTCAAGTACTCTAAATTAGTCTTCATAGTACTTAAACCAGCAATACTTTGAAAACGTTCCTCTTTCTCCAAACACTGGCGCTTTAGTTCAGTAAGTCGCTTTAATAAAAAAAAAAAAAAAAAAAAAGAATTTATTTCTTATTAACATTAAAAAATGACACTTTGCAAATATATTTCTTTTGAAAACAATGCCTAAACAAGTACCACATAAGATTTATTAGGAAATGTTGTTAAATAAAAATATTTCTGGTTCTTTGATATACATTTAATAGGTGCAATAATTTTGTTACTTTCAGCACTATAAAAATGTTGGCCATTTCATCAGATGAAGAAAGCAAAGGAATTAAAAGTTCAAGACTACACAAGTATAGAAAAATCCCCAAACTCGCCCTCTCATTTTCCCTGTTTATTCTGTATCTGATAGACATAACTGATGTGTTTTTCCAAAATATAAGAGGGAATATAAGGATCAGAATGAATGCATTTTCAAAATTCAAACAAGTGACAATTGTTCTTACTTAAGTTCTGTTTTAATAATTAATAAATAAAATAACCAAACAAATATTAAATATCATGACATTAGGACAGCTTCTGAAGTGGCTTTTAAGTTTCATGTCCTATATAGGTAGCTAGCACCCTCTCTATTCATGCTCATCATATTCAAATAGGGTCTTAACACTATAGATCTTACCTTGTTTCCCTATCCAATTCACTTTCCCATGCTCCAGGATTATTTCAACCCAATACTATTCTCCAAACCTCACACACACTGCTACCTATTCCCATTCATTCCCCATCTCCAGCTTCAGAGAATTTAGAAGCTATCAGAAAGAAACTCCCTCCAGCCGCCAACAACCTTATCTATAAATCTAAAGCAGTCATCTCATCCTTCTGCAACATAACAGAGGTGGCCTCACCATATTGAGGTCTAGCCCCTCCCTTACCTTTATCTTGGACCCCACCTTTTTCCTTCTCAAAGGTCTAAATTCACTGATTTCCCAGCCCATATTTTTATCTTTGTTTCCGCTTCACTCTCTTAACTGACTCCTTTCCTTACCACATTCATCTCTACTAGTTTACTTCCCAACTTTCAAACAAAACCACTACTACCCATCCCTTGGCACCCCCTTCTCCTCTAAAACTCCTCTTCCCTTTCTACCCAATTTTCATGAAAATTATGTCTATATTCTCCGTTTCTTCAGTTTTCAATCCCACAAATGTGGCTTCTGTTTTCACCCATCTTGCCACTGTCATCTATGACTTATGTCACTGTATACAGTGAGTCTGTTGATTCTTACAGTGGTTGACCACACAGCACATCTCACAGTCCTGACTTGTTCCTTCCCCATTTCTCTCTTCCCTTGGCTTCTCATGCCCCCTACTAACATTCCTCATGGTTGGGGCCTGTGCTGACTTTTCCTTTTCCCCTCAGCAGTCTAAGTTATTCTTACAGCTTAGATAGATACTAATAAAATATTGATGCCACCTAAATGTTTACAGAGGTCATACTTTATTTCCATATTCCTAATTCGTATTTCCAGCTTCCCACTTGACATTTCCACTTGGATGCTTTATAAGAACCTTAAAATTAATGTGTCCAAATGAAAATTAATGTGTCCAAACGGAATTCATCTTTCTAAAAGAAAGAAAATAGGAAAGAAAAGAAAAAAGAGAAAAAACCTGGCTGCTCTTACCAGGTTTTCTATTTCAACAAACTTACTGTGCTACTGAGGTAATTAATCTGGAGGTCACTGGGTCACCCTTGCTGCCTCTGCCTTAACTTTATCCCTCCATATCCCCTACAATATCTTTCTAGATCATTTCAAAATTCTTCTCTCCTCTACTACTGCCAATACACTACCTTACACCATCACCATCTCCCTGAACAGTACTGACCTCTCTACATCTATTCTTCCCTTATAGCAGTTCATTGTCTTCTATAGCAGAACAAGAATAATCTATTGAATATACATAATTAATCAAATCATCCACTTTCATGTCTTCTACTGCCCTTAAAGTTTACAAGGCCCTCCATAATCTGGCCTCTCATCCCTCACTCTTGCATTCAAATTCACTTTAGCCAATGTAGAATTCTTCCAGTTTATTTTTTAAAGGCACCACGTGCTTTACTGCCCTGAGACTTGAACCATGCTATTTCTTAGAACACTTTTCCTTACTCCCACCATCCTTTGCCTGTATTATTCATCATTTGGTTCTTACCTTTGACAGCATTTCCTTAGTAACTTCCCCTGTCATTACCTACCCTGCCCCTCACTACCAATACCCTAGGGAGTACTTTTGCACAAACCAAGTGCTCACTATACTCAAATTCTTTACCGTCTATGTTTGCTGCTACATGGTTAAGTCCATAACCCTATGAATCCTGATATTTATTTGTAGTTTCTAACCTTCATAAAACTATTTCTTAAAGATTTAACTATTCAAACTCAAAGTTTATTTTGAGACTACAGGGCATTTAATCAATTAGGAAAATAGTTTTTATGAAGTGCATATAACATATCTAGAACTTTGCTGCACAATATAGGGAAGTGCTTCTTAAACTTCGTTACCAAAACATCTTTAATTGTTGAGGACAAAGTATATCATGGAGAAAGTCTGTGTTTAATCCCAAGAGGTCAGAAGCAAACAAATTTCATCAAACTCCCAATTTATTATTTTAAAATAATAAATATAACGTAAAGGATGTAGGGCTTATTTGAATATGCAAATATTTCCTTTCACAAGGAAACAGTAACAGTGATACTCTAAGAAAGTGTGCTATATTAATTCTGTGGTTTATAGTAGCTCCTTGCACACCATCATGTAATCCATGCTTAAAAGGATGATATGGGGAATAAAAATATACTCTGCCTCCATTTTTAAGTTTTCACTAAATGAGCCACACAATTATAGACCTAACTTAAAATAAGCATTCCTCAAAAACCTGAAGTAAAAAGGTCAGTATAACATCTAATGAATTTTATGTCAATCATTAGCACAATTCTATCTCATAAGGATAAGCTAAAAAAAAAAGGATAAGCTAAAAAGTTGATGAGAACTCAAATGGCTGCATAAAACTAACAAAAGAATCAGATCTAGAATCATGTAAAAATTGATGGGGCTTAATGTACTGGATAAACAGCTATAATGTAAGCCTTATGACTTTGAAGTCATTGATTATCAGATAAAAGTTTAGATCATCAGAAATATAAAGAAGAAAGTAAAAGAACAAAATATACCAGATGTAGAAACAAATTTAAATAAGTCATGGTTGGTGTGAGTGATTTAAAATTCAAGCAAATTTGCACAGCTGCCAAGCTAGTAATATGATGTGACAGCTGCTACCAAGCTATCAGTTGCTTAAGGAATGTTAATATTTCACCAGTGTAATGAAAGAGTCATCTCTATAATTTATAATTACCACTGTAATTATAAATGCACACTATCTTTAATATCAGTGTGAGTCTTATTCTTATTATCCCAACATAAGAAACGTTACAGTTTTTAAACCACTTAGTGAGAATTAGTGATACCTTATTATAGAACCAATTAGCCACATATTAAGGGATAAACATGTAGATGCTGCCCCATCTTCTAGCTTATTTTCTACTAGAGAAAGTGAGACATGTTCATATCCATTATTACAAAACAAAAGATAAAGGCTAGTAAGTATTCAAATATAAAAAACATACTTCATGTACGTCATGGAATGCTATAGAAATATTTTTATCTATATAGAGAAAGATACGTAATTTCACAACACCATTTACCTTGAGTACTACTACAGGAGTTTGGCTGATCTCAAAAAGATTTATAACAAGTGTTTACAAACCTCTTCTCCTTGATTTATCTGCTCCTTTGTTCTTTCTTTTGTTTCCATAATGTATGAATAATCTTCCTTCATTTGTTCAAGTTGGGTTGCTTTCATGAAGAACTAAAACAAGGAGAAAAACACAATAAGGAGTTGTAAACTTCCAAGCAACTGGGGGGAAAAAAAAGAAAAATTTGATCTCTAAAAACTTTGAGACCAATTATGTACAACGAAATTAAAAACATAAGTATACGTAAACACAAAACAATACATTTCTGACTCAAATTTACTGAACTGCTAGGCTTACATCTATGTGTTCATTTGTGAAAGCTCTTAAAACTCCATGAAAGAAAATACCATTTTGAAAGCTCATTTTCACTAATTCTTCCATTCTTTAAGCAAAGATGGCTAAAAACATTTCGGCTTTGATCTTGGTGCGTCTGAAATTTTTAAAATAGGAATTACCAAAAGGTTATACAGAAAGTTCAGGAGCAAATATTTTGTTAGCTTTTAAAATTTTAAATAGTTTAATGGTTACGAGTTGTTAGGCATGTATAGCCAATTATTACCTTGTATTTCCTTTAAGATTCAAAATTAAAAGCCAAAAAGTCCAAACAGATTTACCAAGAAAACTATACTCCCATCTCACTTAACAATTTCCTAATCTAATCCTATGCTGTTACTTTACAATGGTGGTTTTAAAAAATAAAACAAAACAAAACTCAGTCTCTGTCCTGTGAGCATGAAATCTATCTAAATCCATTCCTTTGGGGTAGATTTATACTTAATTTGGGGCCCCTTACTTTGTATTTGTCTCCCTCATTTTTAGACTGTAGGAATTGTTTGCTCATCTCTTGTGTTAAAACAGAAACTGGATTATCCACCTGAAATAAAGAAAAAATATTTTGCATTATTTCATTTTCATGTTTAAAGATAAGTAAAACGGAAATGTACATTACAAGCTGCCATCAAGAAGGCTAAGCACTAGCCAAAGTTCATAGAATTTGGGTAAAATTCAAAGAAAAAAACATTAGAAATTTTTAATGCAGGAAAAATGCTTTAGAATTTCATTATGCCAAAATAAATACTTTCACCAAAATTCAATATTCCGCACTTACATGAAGGCATAAGTACAAGAGCCCTGTGAAGAAGTATTTTTATTGGAAAGCTTTTCACTTCCTCCGCCTGTTTTCTGGATTATCACTCTTAGGCTATTGGCTAATCATGGGCCAAAAGAACAGGAACAGTCCTAGCATGGAAATCAGCTACCCTGGGTTCTTATCTGGGCTTCATCCCCAACCTCCCACATAGCCTTGAGCAAGTCAGTTACATATAATAGTTTTTCCAAATAAATACAAAAAGTCCCACTCAGTTATTTCTAAACAGAAATATGATTAACAAGTACTGCTCATTTTTCTTATAGAAGCTCCTCAGATTTCCCATGTATCTTTTATTCCTTCATGAGGATATTATAAAACAAATGGAAATAATGAAGTCACATCTATCTTTTGGAGGCAGAATCATTTTTTAAATTCATTTTTGCATTTTGGCTGGGGACCAGGCTTGAACCTGTCACCCCCCATATATGGGGCCGGTGTCCTACTCCTTGAGCCACAGGCCCCACCCAGTAGAATCATTTTAAACAAGCCATTGCCTAAACGAAACCACCTTTGCTAACAAGACTATCAAAGTACACTTGGAAAAGCGTAAAAAAGAAAATAACAACCTGTTTCAAAAGATTCAAGGTCATTATTTGCTTATACTTTTGGTACTAATAACAAATCTTATTCATAGGTTATAGATAAATGAAAAAAGCTTTAAACACTTCATTTTTACCGTTTAAAAAACTGATTTTTCCAGACGATTATGGGGATATGAATATTTTGTTTACATGAATTGCTTTGTAGAGTTTGAGTCAAAGTTACAAATGTGCCCATCACCTGGATTATACAATTTTACCATCTATAAAAAAATCTTAATGGGAAATATTTCTTATTATCTACATAGACCAGACTCCAATTATCACATATTCTTTACAATGTCTCCCTTCATCTTAATTTCACACTGTGTCTGACATGTTACAAGGCCTACTGTGGTAACTTTAACGACAAATGCCTTACTACCAACTTTGGATTGAAAGCTTCACCAAAGTTTGTATCTTTTCTCTCATACCCTTTTTGACTGTTTCTGACATGGAGTTCCTAGTCCCAATATTACTCTTAGAAAAATTAAGCACAAACATGTAAACTTCAGAAAAAGAATAAGAAAGGGAGGCATGGGAGACAAACATAAAGAGGTTCTTAAAGATGTTAAATATTCTCCTCCTCCTTGGTTATTCCAGACCAGCACTGTCCAACAGAAATACAATTCAAGTCATACACATGATTATCAATTTTCCGTTAGCCACGTTAAAAACATAAAGATTAACAGGTCAAATTCATGTTAATATATTTTAACATGTTAACATTCATGTTCATTAACATGAACATTCATGTTAATTCATTTTCCTAGATATTATCACTTTAACATATGAAAGTCATAATATGAAAAGCAACATGAAAAACCAACTTATTCATTTTTATTCAGTCTTCCAAATCTGCTATGTATTTTCAATTTGAACTACCCACATTTCAAGCACTCAATATCTACCTGTAGTTACTGGTTACTGGACAGCAGAGCTCTAGTTCTTAAAAAGGAGTTATGATAATCAAATATTTCAAGACAGAATAAATATGTTTTGCATTCCCAAGAAAGTGGGAGCTTAGAGAAATAGGCTTTATTCAACTTTCGACATGATGAAAACTTTCTAATAAATACAGCTAACCACTGTAGGGAATAAGAAGCTTGAGGCAGGGATGATTTCCCCACAACTATCCTTTCAAACACCTGCTGTGCTGCAGGAACAGAGTAGAGAGTCTACACAGGTCAAGTACAAAGGTTGGTAACTACAGTGAATGCCCTTCAATATTCTCCCAACACCTATGATTCCATCAATTCTAGCTTTTGGCTTTCCTGATTCTAACAAATTATCTAGAATTCAGCATTTTTCCCTGAAATTTATTTGGTGTATATGCTTTTCTCCATATTTAAAAAATCATTTTTCCTATACTTGTGCTATCTGGCATGCAAGTCCACCTGCCACATGTAACTTTTTCTACCTAAGTAAAATTAAATGTAATTAAAAATTCAGTTTCTCCATCCTATGTTTCAAGTGGTCAACAGCCACATGTGACTAGCAATTACCCCCCTGGACAGCACAGATACAGGACATTTCTACCATCATAGAAAGACATTCTAGGTAGCTATATTCTAGATCAAAGTGGGAAAGAGACTCAGACTCCTAATTGTTCTCTTTTTGGTAACTAGGATTACGGTTCTATTTCTGGAACAAGGCATGGCACAGTGCACAGAGAACTAGAATGAAATATGGAAGTCTGCATCCCAATCCATGCTCTACCAATAACCACACCTAGACAACTTGAAGGATAAATTTAGTTTTTCTGCCTCCTTGTTACTCATCTGCAAAATAAGAGGCCTGATCAGGTGAGCTTTAAAAACAATTCCAGTGTTAATGTTAACAGGACTACACGTGCCCTATTTCCAATTAATTCAGGCAAATCTTAGCAGAAAAGATACAGGAGTAATCAATAACACTAAAACACAAAGAGAGATACTTCATCTTTCTAAAGTAAATTTTCTTTCTTCAAGAATTTAGCAACTAAGCTTGGAGAACAATGGTGCTGTTATGCCTAGGATAAAAGGCAGTAAGGAAATTTTACAGCCTTATTAACATAAATTTTAACACATACCAGTATAGAGATGATCTTGACTGAGCTATCAAATTAAAGGTGTTATATTATGTATTGACAATACATGTTCAATTAGTAAATTTTAGAGAATTTAACTAATAATTATTACACATATTCTTCCTGAGGTCAATTTACTAAATAAAATGAGGCCATTAATTTTTTCTACACCACAGATAAAATCACACCAAATATCAACCAGTTGCGCACATTAATCTGAAACACAAATTTAGCAATTACCTGGATGTTAAAATGATCAAGAATTGCAATCAGTTCTTCTTTCCTAGTAGAAATCACGGTTCCTAGTTATGAGAAACATAAAATGACCAGACTGTTTCTTGAACAATAACACAGAAAAAAAAAATGTACATTTACACATACATAAATTCCTAATTAGGAATAATTTTTTTTTTCTGGTTTTAACTTCAACTATTTGCAGTGGGAAATGCAAACATACAGTTGGGACTGTATAGGGGAAGGAACTGGGCCACAGCTGACACTCTTGGGCCAGGTGGCAAAAGTGGACAAGCACTGGCAATGGCAGTAAGAGGCATGGCTGAAGAAAGCGGGAGAAAGGCCAAGTACTTTGGTACTCTGTCATCTGCTACTAAGTCCAGGGCAAATAGAAATAGGAAGAGACTGAGTAGGAACACAGAACCAGCATCTGTCTTTCTTTACAGCCAAGGAGCCAGCTACCAGATGTGAGCTGGTTCATCTCCCTCCTTAGGCTCTGCCATGAGAGCACTCCTCAGCCAGGTTCTCTGAAATAAACCAAGTCCAGTGGAGCTACCCACCTTACCAAGACAGTCCAAGGCTGGTGGGTAAAAAACCCCTTCTAGCGAAGTTCCAGGCAGGAATTAGGAATAAATATTATTTCATTGCATCATCAAGAAAGGTACCACTGAATAGGTATAAATCTGAATGAACACAGTACATTCAGGTATAAATCTGAATGAACACAGTACACACAGCACGAAGGGGAAGAAAAAGTACCCAGATATATATGAGGCACATCTTGTTCCCATAGCTAAATGCCTCATCTTTCCTTCTTTTTTTTTTTTTTTGAGACAGTCTCATTCTGTCGCCCAAGCTAGAGTACACAGGTGTCATCATAGCTCACTGAACCCTCAAACTCTTAGGCTCAAGCAGTTCTCCTGTCCTGAACAGAATAGCTGGAGCATGCCATGCCACCATGCCTGGTTAATCTTTTCTATTTTTTGTACAGATGGAGCCTAGCTCAGGCTGGTCTTAAATTCCTAGCCTCAAGCAATCATTCCACCTCAGCCTCCCAGCATACTAGGATTACAGGCACGAGGGGCTGTTCCAGGCTCTTCTTTTCAATAATTACTTCCCTCTTTCTTTATGTCATCATTTTCCACCTTTTGCTACACATCTCCTCCCACACCTTATAGAAACTATATGGATTAAAGAAGGTCTGCGGGGCAGAACAAAATGGCATAGGTTGTTTCAAACTGACCCAAATTCTGCTAATCATGGTTTTGCTGCTGGAAGGTCCTGTGCTAAAACAACTACCGTGTTTCCCCGAAAATAAGACCTACTCAAAAAATAAGCCCTAGCAGGATTTCTATGCATTTGTTAAATATAAGCCCTACTCCGATAATAAGACCTAGTAATGGGCGCGGCTATACCATGCATTTCGGTGCAGAGTGGTAAGAAAGACTGGAATCCCTTTTATCTGCCACAGATCCTTTCTCCCAGCTGTTCTCACTTGTGCGGATGCCGTGAGTGGTAACCACAGTCATAGGCATCCTGTTGCACATGTGCTAACAGCTAGGGGAAAGGAGTTCATGCATCACTAGTGCCAGCCAACAAGGCCATCAAGGTAGGCTCCCCCTGTCAGGTTCCAGAAGAAGATGACTTAACTGTATTTGAATAAATGTAGATTGTTGTATTATACTTAATAAAAATAAGACATCCCCTGAAAATAAGCCCTAATGTGTCTTCTTGAGAAAAAATAAATATAAGACAGTGTCTTAGTTTCGGGGAACACGGTATGTATACCATATATTCACGTATCTATACATATACCCGTATATACAACACACTCACGCACACACACATACAATTATAAGAAAAAGAAAGAAGTGCCAAGAGACACTTCTTAAGAGACAAGAAGTGCCTTTTCAATGAGTACTAGCATAGTCACCCCTTTTTGAGTATTTACCAATATTTAAGAAATGAAAAGAAAATCGTAACACACCTGTTGAACTTTTTAGTTTGTAAGATCGACTTCCATCCATGCTGATGTGTTGCTGCACAATTATAGAGTCACCATATACATTTGCTCTATAGGCATCATCTCCTCTGTTCCTTAATGTTATCAAGATATCTGCTGAGCTAAAACAATGAGGTTAAGCTAAGTCACATGAAGGTACGGTGCAATTACCATATCATGTTTTCAGAATTTTCAAGTATTTTCAGAATCATCAAATAATTTTGCTCATTTATTTAATTAGCTTTACATCAGCAGTTGATAGTCTGGCTAGAGTCTACTATAGAATAATGTTAAAAATATCATGCCTGATATAAAATAAAGTTGACAATAAGTAAAGCTTAATAAAAAATAATTGGCTGTTCTACTCTTAATAAAAACTATTAAGTTTTGTTTTTTTCAAGTCACGTAGTTAACTTATATATTTTCCTATAAAAAAGAAGTTATCAACATTGTGCTGCCTGACTACTGTGAATTACATAATAAAGCATCAGGCTGACAGGAGGTCTTTAAAAATGATGAAGTAAGAATCATGGGAAAGTAACAACACCATCTAAGACAATTAGAATTAAGGGAGGCAATTTTAATTTTTTAATTACTTTAATTTCAAATTTAAATTACTTGGCAATAAAAAATAAAGGCTTTTGATTTTCAAGAAATATAAATGAAAGCCTCAAAATGCTTAAAGTTTTATCAGCATTAACTAAGCATAGAATATAAATGTCTTAACACAATAATGAGGAAAATGCTGTGAAGGCTATGTTAACCAGTTTGATGAAAATATTTGTATATAAAATTGTATATAAAACCAGCACATTGTACCCCATGATTGCATTAATTTAATGCAGCTATAATTTAATAAAAAAATCATTTTAAAATATGTAATGCAGTTAAAGACACATATCAAATGCTGAGAGCATAAATCTGCCTAATAACCTCTGCTACGGTTTTTAAAGTTGTAAAGATGTTTCAAACACTTATAGTTATACTTATTTTAAGACAGAGGGAAGACTAGGTGAGGTGGCTAGCACGCTGGGAGGTCAGGCAGAGGATGCCTTAAACTCAGGAATTTGATACCAGCCTGGGCAAAAGGGAGACTCCATCTCCACTAAAATCAGAAAAATTAGCCTGGCATTATGGTGGGCACCTGTAGTCCCAGCTATTTAGGAAGGTGAGGCAGGAGGACAACTTGAGCCCAAGAGTCTGTTGAAACTTGGTAGAAAAATAAAAAAGATGTTGAGGAAGGATATAAATACATATTTATTATTTTATGTGTATATATATAGATATGCAGACAATATTTTCTCTGCTTTTTCTGAACATTACCAAAATCCTAAAGTCATCTGGTTAAAACTGATCTGATAATTACATGAAACTGTCAGCAGAATGAACTTGTTTTTATTTATTTGTAGAAATATTCCCAAACTATTCCCATTTGCAGGAAATGTAGGAAAAAAGACTCCAGATTAATGTCACTATAAACTACTGGCATAATGGTAGACACAATGAAGTGTGTACAGCTCTGGCTCCCCACCTCCCTTCTTTGCAAATACTCAAGCAGAAAGAAAAGGCTTAGCAATCATATCAGTCCCCATCCTGGCTTCCTGGAATTAAGCTACATATAGAAACCTGTACTAACTGAGCAATCAGGTTCTCTTCTTTGAAAGTTCAAACTAAGAACAACTGGTAAAAAATTTTAAGGTTTGTTTACTTAATGTTGTACCAATGTTAACTGCATAGCTTCGGTAAATGCACTTTAGCTATGTAAAATATCTACATTAAGGAAAACTGGGTGAGTAATATACAAGAAACTCTGCCTATCTTTCCAACACTTCTGTAAATTTCAAATTATTTCAAAATAAGAGGTTTATAAAAAAATTCCAGTTAAGACATGGCACGTCAAGCTTGGTGATTCCTTACAGCCACAAAGTTATAAGGCCTCTGGAACTAGAAAAAACAATTTGAGGCATTGTACTCAGATGAGAAAATACAAAGTCTGCAGAGAGAAGGCAGGAGCATAGAACAGGTAAGCTCTTGAACAGTACAACCAATTAAGTTAGGAGGGCTGGGAGGTGGTATAGAGGAAGAAATGCAGAACAGAGTAAAGAGAGACAGACAGAGCCCAGACAGAGCCCAGAGACCAGCAGAACTACAGAGACAGCCAGAGACAGAGGCTGATAAAGCTCCCAGACAGATGATCCTCGGTCCTGCAGGTCTTAGTCTAGTCCCTCGGGGGAACTTCCTCCCTGCAGTTTCCAAGATATACTTCCCTCTATCTTTGTGATATCCTTTTCTAGAACACCTTGAGTGGACTTTTTTTTTTTTAACAAAATTACCTAAATAAAACAGATACGCTCCTGAAAATTTATAATTATAATTTAAATTTATAATTACATTTATAATTATAATTTATAATTAAGTTTTGTTTTTTTTTTCTCAAGACAGAGTCTCACTTTGTCACCCTTGGTAGAGTGCCGTGGCATCACAGCTCACAGCAACCTCAAACTCTTGGGCTTAAGTGATCCTTTTGCCTCAGCCTCCCGAGTAGCTGGGACTACAGGTGCCAGCCACAATGCCTGGCTATTTTTAGAGATGGGGTCTTGCTCTTGCTTAGGCTGGTCTCAAACCTGTGAGGCCAGGCAATCTACCCACCTCGGCCTCCCAGAGCACTAACATTATAGGTGTGAGGCACCGCACATGGCCTTAATTGAAATTTTTAAAAAGCCTCTCAGGTTAATTCTAATAACCAGTCGTGGTTGAGAACCACTAGCTAAAGTACAACTGGGAAAGGAAAGCTAGCCTATAATATGAAGCACACAAATATTTTTTTCATTAATTAGTATGAGTACTTAGTGTTGAATTAAAGTACCTCATGAAAACATTCTAAAAATGACTACATATATTTGCTCTCTGAATCATCAAATACCTCTCTTGAATGGCAAACATCTACTTTATTATCTTTATTCCTAGCTATTCTCTATTATATTAGAGAGCTTTTTTTAGTACAGTGAGAATTTTGGAGTTACTGGTATCCTGCTACTATGTGAATTTAACAAATAATTTTTTTAAAAATCAACATTTATGAAAAAAAGTCTCCTGGACTGCACTAGTTTTGGGGACACTGAATTCAGGTCACGAGCCATAGTGCACAAGGTCTATAATTCACCAGTCCCTTAAGGGGAAAAACAGACTATCAGTGAGAGCTCTTTCAGAACGACAACATAAGCACATGGTGCCACGGTAAGAATGTGGTTCCTTTTTCAACTCTGAAAGAATCTATCTACACAGAGGTAAATGGCAGCAGCATACACCAGTGATTTCCAACCGGTGTGCCATGGCATACCTGTGTGCCATGAGAGAATCTTAGTTGTGCCCCGAAAAATTTTAAACATCTTTAATTAAATTATTTCCAAAAGAAGTTCAAAGCAGGGTTCCCTTCTTTCACTCTTTTTTTTTGATCAACATAATTTAAGCGTGCCTCAGAACTTTAACTATAGGTTCAAGTGTGCCCATGAAATAGAAAAGGTTGACAAACACTGGCATGCACTGATGGGACCAAAAAACAAGTCATAAAAAGATGATTCATCTTCTCCTCTTCTGGGTAGCCAGCTCATCTGCAACAGGTTCTGTATTTTTGACTAAATAAATGAGGAACATGAAACAGGAGTGTGAGTTTTGTCCTTTTATAACCCTGTGACACAGCTGATGTGTCAAAAATAGGACGACTGCAAAAAACCCAAGGCCAGCACACCAGGATTAGTATCAGGAGGCCAACAGCGGGCACAGTGAACTGAACACACCCAGTGAGAACCTACATAGCAAGAGGTCTGAGATCTCGGGTCACCAAGAGAGGTTTTCATGTGAAGAAATACACTGAGATGATTCATTCACACTCCCCAAGTCATTGCAAAGGACCGGTGGATAACCAGAGGGCTAAGCCTAATACAAAGTGTCTCAAGGCACACTTCTCTGGTGCCTCCTAACCATGCTAGGTAAGCATCTCTAAGGAGAGCTGAAACATCCCAAGAAAGCAAGCCCAGAGCCCAGGTGTCCCAAATGGAGACTGGAATGCCTGAGATGAGGAAGAGGAAGGAGAGTCCTTAGCGCTACCTCAAACTTGTGCCAGACTGACAGGCATCCTAAAGTGGGACAGCTGCATAGATTTTAGATATAGGAAAAAGAAAGAATAAAACTAAAAACCTCAATGACCTGTTTCTGCAAAAAAAGTGATGACAGAATCAGAGACTACAAAACAAGGCAAATTTTATAAATACCCAATGTTTTAAACAAAGGAAAGGATGATAAGCAGAATAGTAATAGATCTGGAAAATCTCTGCTTTAAGCTTTTTTTAGAAAACGTTAGTGAAGGGGAGATTCAGCTCAGGTTAGAGTTTTTAAGCTGTTATTAACTCTGTTATAAAACATATTAATGTTCCCTTTTACAGGCAGCCCTGTCCTTAGAAGTCAGTGATATGGGTTCCAAAAAAAAAAGCAGTTTTCAGAGGATAAGCCTCAGAAAGAAGTTTCTACTTCCATTTTAGTACTTCTCAAATGCAAGAAAATCCAAAGTATTTAGCTGATACATAAAACATTTAATGATACATAAATAATAATTTCTTCCTGAAGCTTGTATTTGAAAGATGCATGTATTATCTGGCCAAGGAGACTAAGTGATTAGACAACAAGGAAACACAGTTAATTATGATAAATTGAAATAAGAGTTGAGAACATTATCTTACACGTGGTAAAGTAACTAATTTATTACTTGAGACATAATCTTTGGGGATGGGAAGAAAACCTTCCTGGGCTGGGGACCTAATAAGTGGAGACAGAAACTCTGCAAGAGAATTTTTATCAAATAGTTCTTTTCCAAGGCCACAGAGCATGGGAAATGATTTCAGTGTATCTTTTCTCCTTCTCTTGAGTTAATTTGGAATCTTGGCTTAAAGTTAAGATTCCTAAGGCTCTTGAGCACAACATACGAAGCCTGCAGCCCTGATTCATATTCTATTCCTTTTCTATATTCTAGTAATGAAACAGGGAGAAGTTAAATAGATAAAACATTGAGCAAAAGCAAAGTCTACATTAGAAAAAAGACATCAGTGTTAATAGTGAGAGTTTCAAAAGTTCCGGGCATTGGGTGTATTATAGAATGAGCAGTGGAAGCAGCCCACTGCTGGCAGACGTATGACGAAGTGTGGAACATTCAGTTGTTAGGAAAAACAAAGACCCTTTCAGAGGTACCTGGGGCAGTATGAAAAATAAAAAGCCTAAAAGAGAGAGCTGCTAGTGTACAAAAGGCAATGAGTCCTTGACCATGCAAAGTGGACAATATATAGCTATGTGAAGACAATCTATGACAAAAAGAAATATAAACATAAAACCAAAGAGGGTACTTATATGACTACTCATCAAGGGTTCAGAGGGACCACAAAAACTTGTGATTATGGTCTTCAAAGGGGTACAGAGCCAGAAAGCAGAAGACATTTTGGAATTCTGAAAACAGTAATTTTGTGCAGGGATACCTTGGCTGGTCACTGATCTTGATCACCCCCATCATATCAATATGAGCTTGCTGATGCTGGGTTTGGGTCAAGGGTCAGGAATATGCGATGTTTCTAAATACTCTTCTAAACAGAGTACTCTATTACTGCCATTTCTTCCAGAAAGGTAACAACAGCGTGAGTTTAGATGGCCAGGCACACAGCAGTAAGTTACACAGCTATCTGTTTTGAGAGGACAACAGTCCACAGTGGGCCATGCTGGCAGCAAGCAGCAAAGAAAGGAATGAAAGCATATGCTACTTCTGCTCTGATTTTGAAAGGTACTTCACTTCCAGTCATGTCTCCATGAACTGGGAATCTAAAATAGCTGCTTCTTACTAAAGAAGTGAAAACAGATGGTAGAAAGCAAACACTTACTTCTGTCCATCTTTCACAAAACCTTTTAAAGAAGATCCTCTATTAGTAGTGATTGCTTTGCCACCAAGACCAACTATGAGAGCTGTCAGTACTGCACTCTTCCCACCTAGAGAAACAGATATTGAAGAAATCACATTCATTAAAGGCAGAAAAGGCTCACTCCTATAATTTGATGCAAAAAGTTACTGAATAAAGTGCTACTCTTGTCTTAAAATATTATAATTCAATTAACAGCTTTAAAAAAATGTTGCATGTGTCATGAAATATTTAGTTCCCACTATTAGAAAAGAAAATAGACATTTCAGGAATTAGGTTTTTGCCACTAACAAGGAACCAGAAAAAACTGTTGCATACCTTTCCAACTTGAAACTCTCATTGTATCATCAGGGCCCATCAGTCTAATAAATGAACTTACTACTCTATTTACACATATATACTGATTTTTATTACCTTCTAATCTAATGACAATTCCTATTTACTTTTTCCATAAATTTCCAGATACCAAAAACTATTTTTAATATCCCTCAAAAAAAAGCTCCACATGGATGGGAATGCTGTTTCTTCCATTCAATGCTATATCCCTAATATCAGCACATAATACATACTTGAATACTGGCTGAATAAATGAATTTAAATAGGAAAAAAACCAGCAAAGTCACACACAGATTTTTATACTTTTGAAAAGTATTTCTATTTGAAGAGCTCTTAGAAAAGTATATTTTTTAAAATTCTAACAGTAATAAAATGACAAGCTGAACTTTCAAAATCTCTAACAATTACCCATAATATGGTAACCGTTTTTGAACTCCAAGATAAATCAATCCAATCAACTCTTATTAGCCCATCATCTTCATTATATACTCCAAAGTAACCAAACACACCACTCAATCAACTTGCTGTAGTTCCTGAATGCCTTTAAATTCCTATTCTAACTCCCTTTTCTTCATTACCAAATGCAATGCCTCCACTATCTGCATCATTTTCCATTCTATTACGTTTTATTAATAAATCATTTTTTCAAAAAGTTTTAAACAAGACCTAACTTCAGAACTCCCTAATATTTCTTTGCTTGCTGCTTCTCCTATGTGACCCCTCCAAAGCACTGATCCCTTTGTCCATCCTCTCCTAAAAACTCCTTCTTCTTGACCCAATCAATGATGGAGTAGGAGAAACAGAAAACAAAACCAACTACAGAGCTACACACACCTCACTTCCTAGTCCAGCACTGCCACCAGCTGGTAGACTCTGGCAAGCCTCCTCTCCCTGTGTCCATCTCAGCCCAGCCACCAGCCTCTCATGCTTGGCTGGCCTATCGCAGAGCTACCTAATTGGTCCTGCTGCCTCACATATTTTCCCCCTTTAACCCACTCTCCACAATGTATCTGGTTTCTTTCATTCCCTTACTCAAAAACTAATTGGCTCTCCACTGACTTAAATAAAACTCCAAATTCTTTATCATCTTTATCATGACATAAAAGATCCTTAACAATTTCACCTAAGCATGACTCTCTAGAGTTAGCTTCTGCCCCACCCCACCGTGTACCACACAGTAAACCATCTAAGGTAATTCTCCACGTCCCATACATACCTATTCTCCTCCTTAAACCTTTACTGATGAGCAAGCTTTGCCTGAAACATCTCAGCTTCTTCTTCCCCAGTGAGACCTAAAGAACCTAAAATTTTCATTCAAGTACTGGCACAAATACCAACCACCTCCTCTTTAAAGCTTTCATTAGCCATAACAGTGACAATTAGTTACTTTCTTGCTTGGATTGCCAAGGCACCTCATTTGTGCTCAGTTACAACTTTTAGCCAAGATATACAAGGCTGCCTCAATCAAAATGAGAACTGCCTGTCTACCCTTATATATTATGAATTCCAAGGTGAATGGATTAAAAACATAAACAGGGAATTTTATCCTTACCACTTAAATAATAAACCTAGAGTTAATACAGCATTTTCTTTAAGTGTACACTGTAAGCAAATACTGAAAATATTAATAATCAGAAGTCATAAATGTATAAATCAAATACAAAGACTAGTAGTCACTTACATCTAAAAAGTAATGTATTCTAATCTCAAAGGTCTGTTTGAAGTCAAATGAGAGTAAAAGGACTTACTTCCATTGTTGCCAACAACGAAGTTGACATTAGAACCAAATTTAAAGGGTCCAAGCATCGAATGACACATGAAGTTTTTTAGCTGAATACTCTCTATTATTCCAACTTCTGCTGCAGTCTATTAATAAAAAACAGTGGAAGAAAACAGTCAATATAATTCACTCATTATACTCATCCAAGCATGTTGGCAGGAGAAAGACTAGCAGTTATTACCAATGAAAAAGGGTATGGAAAGTGAATAATGGTAACATCAAAACACAAACTTTCTCTGAATCTAGCACATCCCCCAGACTCTTCAAAGAAGCTAATAAACGTATCACAAGGTTTCTTAATATTTACAACATTGGCATTTAGGGTGTGATAATTTTTCTTGGTAGGGGATCTGTTCAGTGCATTGTAGAATGTTTAGCAACATCCCCAGACACTCTCCACTAGATGCTAGTACAAGTACACATTTGACCCACTTGTGACAACCAAAAACGATCCGGACATTGCTGAACATCCCCAGGGCATACAAGCAGAATCTCCCTGGATGAGAACAGCTATCCCAACTGTTATAGCAGAACTTTCTATAAAATATAGAACTATATTTGGCACAGCCCTGAAAGACGACTATCCAACCATGGTTTGAACACTAATTCACTATGTGACATTCACTATCTCCAGTGAAAGAGCAGAACACACATCCCAAAAGGTAAAGCTGCTCTTTTTGTGACTTTCTGCATCTGTCATTTAACTATGATAGCTGTGTGACTTTTGGTAATGTATAAAAGATATATAGTTTCCAAATATGTAAGACAGAAACAGTAATTTCTATGCTGTAAGTATATGACCTCATTACATTAGAGATGGCTTATAAATGGTTCACCTGCATGTTGTAGTTATCTAAACACCAGAATGAATCGGCTTATTTTCTCAGAATAAATTTCATTTTTTGAAGACCACTTTTCATCTCTCTAGCTATTTGCATGGTTTCTTTTAAAATTCCCCAGCTCTCCTCTTCTGGACTACACCTTATTAAAATGCAGAAAATATTTACCTCCTTATATGAGGAGTTCTGGAAATCACGGTTGAAGAATTTTTAAATACATTTTCATTTTGAGACAACTACACATTCACACGCAGTTGTTAAGAAACACCTTGTATATATGTACTATATGAACAAGAGTAACAATAGTATAAAATCACAACTAAGGCTGGGTGCAGTGGCTCAAGCCTGTAATCCTAGCAATCTGGGAGGCCAAGGTAGGTGTACTGTTTGATCTCAGGAGTTTGAGATCAGCCTGACCAAAAGCAAGATCCCATCTCTAAAATAACCAGGCGTTGTGACAGGCACCTATAGTTCCAGCTACGTAGGAGGCTGAGGCAAGAGGATGGCTTAAGCCCAAGAGTTTGATGTTGCTGTGAGATATGACACCATAGCAATCTACCCAGAAGAACAAAGTAAGACACTGTCTCAAAAAAAATAAGTTCACAACTAAGATACAATGTTGATTACTATATAGGTCTTGAAATTGGGAAGACTGATTCTTCCCACTTCTCTCTTTTTCAAAATGGTTTTAGCTATTCCAGTTCTTTTGCCTTTTCCAACAAAATTTATAATAAATTTGTCTGTATCATAGAAAAATCTTAATGGATTTTGATAGAATTGTCATTGGGGGAGAATCAACATCACTTCTGTGTTCAGTGCTCTAATCCACAAATAAGTATGCCTCTCCATTTATTTAGGTCTTCTTTGATTCCTTTTTACGAATTACTAGGGATGGGTTTTTCTTTTTCTTTTTTTTTTTTAATTGTGGAGGATTCACTGAGGGTACAGAGAACTAGGTTACACTGACTGCATTCATTAGGTAAAGTCCCTCTTATAGTTGTGTCCCACCTCCAAGAGGTGTTTCATGTATCATGTACCCCCCACTTCCTTCCCTCTCTCTGCTCCTCCATTCCTCTACCTCCCACCATGTATTAGGTCATCAACTGTCCTCCTATCAGAATTGAGTACATTAGATTCTTGCTTCTCTATTCTTGTGACGTTCTACTAAGACGAATGTGTTTCAACTCCATCCAGGTTAATACAAAAGATGTAAAGTCTCATCTTTTTTAGTGGCTGAATAGTATTCTATGGTATAAATACACCACAGCTTGTTAAACCATTCCTGGATTAGTGGGCATTTAGGTTGTTTCCACAGTTTGGCAATTGTAAACTGAGCTGTGATAAACAGTCTAGTGGAAATGTCCTTATGATGAAATGATGTTTTTTTCCTTTTGCATAGATACCCAGTAATGGGACTGCAGAATCAAATAGGAAATCTATTCTTTTGAGTTCTTTGAGGATTCTCCGTATTTCCTTCCAAAAAGGTTGTACTAGTTTGCAGACCAACCAGCACTGTAAAAGTGCTCCCTTCTCTCCATATCCATGCCAGCATTGGCAGCTATGAGATTTTGTGATGTGGGCCATTCTCACTGGGGTTAGGTGATATTGTGGAATGGTTTTAATTTATATTTCTCTGATAATTAGACAATGAGCATTTTTTCATATATTTGTTAGCCATTCTTCTTTAGGAAAGGTTCTATTCATCTCTCTTGCCCATTGATATAAGAGATTATTGGCTTTAATGTTAATTTGAGTTCTCTGTAAATCCTAGTTATCAAGCTTTTATCCAATTCATAATATGCATATATCTTTTTCCATTCTGATGGTTGTCTCTTTCCTTTGGTTGTTGTCTCCTCAGCTGTAGAGAAGCTATTCAGTATAATTAAGTCCCATTTGTTTATTTTTGTTGTTGTTGCTATCACTACAGAAGTCTTCTTCATAAAGTCTTTGCCCAGGCCAATAACTTCAAGTGTTTTCCCACACTTTCTTTGAGGATTTTTATTCTTTCATGCCTTTGATTTAGATCTTTTATCCATCTTGAATTGATTTTAGTGATTAGAGAAAGGTGTGGGTCCAGTGTCAGGCTTTTACATGTGGATATCCAGTTCTCCCAGCATCATTTATTGAGGAGAGATTTTTCCCTCTCTCAAGTGTATGTTCTTGTTTGGTTTATCAAAGATGGCTGTGAGATATTAGTTTCAACTCCTAGTTTTCTATTCAGTTCCAAATGTCTGTTTCTATTTCTGTGCCAATACCATACTCTTTTGATTACTATGGCCTTGTAGTACATCCTAAAGTCTGGTAGGCTCATGCCTGGTTTGTTTTTATTACTAAGAATTGCCTTGGCTATATGGGGTATTTTCTGGTGCCATACAAAACAAAAAATTATTTTTTCCTAATCTAGAAAGTATGATCTTGGTATTGTAATGGGGATTGCATTGAATCTGTAGATTGCTTTGGGAAGTGTAGACATTTTAACAATATTGATTCTTCCCAGCCACGAGCATGGTGTGTTCTTCCATTTGTTAATATCTTCTGCAATTTCTTTTCTTAGGGTTTTGTAGTTTTCTTTATAGAGGTCCTTTACCTCTGTTATTATTAGGTATTTCATTTTCTTTGAAGCTACTGTGAAGGGAATTGTATCCTTGATTAGCTTCTCATCTTGGTTGTTACTGGCATATATAGAGGCTTCTAATTTGTGGACATTGATTTTATGTCCTGAGACATTACTGTATTTTTTGATCACTTCCAGGAGTCTTGGGGTGGAGTCTTTGGGGTTAACTAAGTGTAAGATCATATCATCAGCAAAAAAGGAGAGTTTGACTTCCTTTGCACCCATTTGGATGCTCTTTATTTCCTTCTCTTGCCTGACTGTATTAGCTAGAACTTCCAGCATTATGTTAAATAGTAGTGGTGATAGAGGACAGCCTTGTCTGGTTCCAGTTCTAAATAGAAAAACATTCAGTTTTACTCCATTCACTGTATTAGCTGTGGGTTTGTTGTAGATAGCCTTGATCAGTTTAAGAAATGTGCCCCCTATGCCTATTTTCTTCAGAGTTCTAATTAGAAAAGGATACTGAATTTTAATGAATGCTTTTTCCACATCTATTGAGAAGATCACATGGTCTTTGTTTTTGCTTCTGTTGATATGGTGAATTACCTTTATGGACTTGGGTATGTTAAACCAGCCAAGCATCCCTAGGATGAAAGCTACTTGATTGTGATGGATGATTATTTCAATATGTAGCTATAATCTATTGCCTAGGATTTTATTGAGAATTTTTGCACTATATTAATTAGTGAACTTGGTCTGAAATTCTCCTTTTCAGTTGGGTCTTTTCTTGGTTTTTGATATCATGGTGATGTTTGCTTCATAGAGTGTACTGCTTTATAGAGGAAGATCCCTTTCTTCTCAATTTTTTTGCAATATGGGTATAAACTCTTCTTTGAAGGTTTGATAGAGAAGGAAATAAAGGGCATCCAAATGGGTGCAAACCCTTCTTTGAGTTTGGCTGCTTGTACGACTTTTTCCTTCATCTTGACTTTGGACATGTTCATTACAATGTGTCTTGGAGAGGCTCTGTTTGAGTTGAGGTGATACAGGGTTCAATATCCCTCTGAAAGGAGTGTGTCAGGGTCTTTAGGAAAACTTGGGAAGTTTTCCCTTATCATGGTCTCCATTCCTTTGGGACAATCTTCTTCCACTTCAGGAATCTTAAGCATTTGCATATTTGAATGCTTCATGGAGTCTCGTAGTTCTCTAAGCACCTGTTCTTTCTCTTTCTTCTTTTCTGCCTCTTTAACTACCAGGGTTAACTTGAAAACTTTAACCTCTAGCTCTGAGGTTCTTTATTCTCCATGATCTAACCTATTTTTGATACTTTCTACTGCATCTTTACATTCCCTGATTGTGTCTTTCATTTCCTTAAGCTCCGCCATATCCTTTCTATTTTCTATATATCTCTTGCCCAACTTTTGGTTCTGTCTTTACATTTTCCCGTCCATTCCTTTTATTGTCGTTATCAATCATATTTTAAATTCCCTTTCTGTCCAGTCCATTAATTCTTTATAGGTGGAGTCTTCTGCAGTAGCTGCCTCATGGTCCCTTGTGGGAGCTATTCTGTTTTGGTTTTTCATGTTGCCTGAACTTTTCTGTTAGTTCCTCCTCATGTGTTTTCTTCCTGTTCACCTTCTTGTTCTCCTTTTTACTTCTCACTGCTTCTTTTGTTTAAAACAGAAGTCCTTGATCTTGATGACAATATGCTGCAATGTGTCGCCGGGACCCTGGTGGTGCTATGGTTTTTTTAGGAGACAGAGAGCAGTGTCAGCAACCTTTATGGTCCTTATTCCAAACTCAGCAATCAGACCCTGCAGAGTTAGGATCACAAGAATCCTTGAGGGGCAGGTCTCATAGTGCCCCGAGTCCAGTTCCCGTTGGGTGTGGGAGTCCCTCAGCTGTCCTAAGACTGGAGTTCTGATCCTGGCAGGTGGAATTAAGACTGCCATACCTTAGGCTCCTGCTAAGACCTTCTTACAACCTTCCCACAACGGCAGCCCACTGGCCGTGGAGACCTCAGTATGGCTGCTTTGTCAGCCACCAAACCTATGGCATGTCCACTCTAACCAGCATTCAAATCTGGTTGCTGTATGCTGCTCGAGTCCACCCATTCTTCCAAGCTTTCCACTCAATGCGCAGCTTCCCTCAACAACTAAAAACTCCAGAAAGGCTTCCTCTATCCTGGACCTATGTGGGCAGCTGTCCGATCCCAGCTGGTCATAATCAGATTTCCACCACTCTAGATCATATGCTGTATCCAGCTCACCACCTCCTCACTGTACAACCTGAGGTATGACTTTGGGTAAGATCCTCTTGCCAGATGTGGCTGGGTTCTCTCTTTTTCCCCAGTCATTCTAGGAGAGCTCAGCTGAGCAATCCTTCTGGTCCGGAATCTTGCTCTGCCCCCTTACTAGGGGTCTTTCAACTTCATTCATCTTTGCAAAGACCCAATACTTTGTTTCATCATTTTCTCTATTCTAATATTATCCTAAGCTCCAAAATTAGTCAGAATAGGTAATTAATTTTACCTCAACTTTTAAAAAACCACATTGTTTTTTTCTAAATTTTAAATTATCACAGAATGTGTCATATAAACCAGACATGAGAAACATGTCAATCAAAAAGTATTATTTTGTAATTCTGCACTCACCAAAGTAGAGGTACCATTAGTGAAAGCAACTGCACATTCATCGTCATCACCATCTTTATCAAAATCCTCCAATTCTTCTTGTCTTGGTCTTTTGGCATTTTCAGGAGAGAAGAAATTCTCTTCTTTTCTTTTGGCCATCAGGTCTGAACAAATATTTATAGTTAACAATGATATAAATCAAGCATAGCATCTATAGTGTTATTATTTACATTAAGCTTAACAAAATTAATCACACACAGTTTATTAAATTTTAAGTACTATGTCTTTCCAGTTTCACCCTAAAAAATACAGTAAATTAGTCTTCTATACAGCAAAAAGGAAGAAGACCATAAGTCAAAGAATGCTAGAAAAGTCAAGGAAACACATTTTCCCCTAAAGCCTCTAAAAGGAACATAGCTCTACTAACACCTATATTTTGCCCAGTGAAACCTGTGTCAGACTTTTAATCTACTGAAGCATAAGATAACAAATGTGTGTTGGTTTAAAAAAAAATCATCTGCACAGTCAACGGTAGTGGACTTTTACTTCAGAGTAAAACTGGCCAAGAATATAAAAATATGAAGCTACCTAAATGTTTTGATTCCTAAACTCACAAAATGTAAAAGATATCATTTGTGAAACTATACACTCTACTTTCCTATATCTACTAATAGTGACAGCACAGTACCTCCTAAATCTATTCTAGAGCAATCATCTAATTTTTTTAAGTTATAAAGTAACCAGATAAAACTTTTAACTTTTAAATTATTTTACCAAAGCAGCATATTTTGAAGCAGTATCTCCTTGCACCAGCAGTTTCCTTTACCTATTCTCTTAAAAATTAGTCCATGTTGACTGCCTATTTTTTGCCATTATACCATAAATTTAAACCTAAAAAATTAACATATTTAAAATTACACAAAATTTTGATAAACAAATGTATACTAACTAAACCTCCAAAGTTGATGACCTGTGACTGAAACTAAATTTTATGACTACTTTGATTGCTGCTTTCATTTTTTTCCTTAGAATACACGTTAAGACTTAAAATGATTAGTACCCAATACCTGTTTGCTGAATAAATGGAGAGAAATATCTCTGACATACATAAGTTCTAGGTTTTTAGGTCCCTCAAATAATAGACCACAGCAACCCTGTCTGTACTACGTACCTGACTCCTTTCTGCTCCACAGTAACGGTAGATTGAGTAAGAGTTCCTCTCAAGAATTTGGACTCAAATACTGTAGTCAGTCCTCATTACCAGACATTGTAGCTTTAGCTCAGGATGTCCACACAGGCCAATAAATCTAGTCTTAAGTACTTGTGTATGCATTTTGGGAGTAGGGATGCTAGAGTGGTTATTACAGAAAGAACATGACGTTGATGTGCAAAAACAGAACAGGGACTTTGGAGAAGGAACGAAAGAAAAAGGAAAGCGAAGAAGACAAAGACATTTGCAAATAGTGTTCAATTTTTTAATCTACTCTAATTTCTTGGAAATATCAAATATCTATACATATTTTGGGGAATTATGTCAAATTTTGGTATTATGACAATGTGTATATGGTTCATTAAATGAACTAAATAGTTTGCACATATTTTAGTATTCTAAAATTGCTTCAAAAGTAAGAATAATCCTCAAACTTATTAGATAGTGGAGACTACTTTAACGTTAATTTTGTAAAATCATTTCAATTTCTTTCTTATATATTGGTTGTTTATAGGTTCATATCTTCCTGAATCAAATATGTAATTTTATTTCCTCAAACACTGATAACTTTTAAAACCATGAATTTACGATAAAAAATTATCTTATATTTTGTAAAATCCTCATTTGCAGTCATGCTTCCATACAAATTCCATTTACGTTTGAGAGCTATTTTAAACATTTTAAACAAATTAGTTCTTTGCTTTATCAAATCTAGTTTTTCTTTCATATGACTGTTTTTAATAAGTGGGTCATGATGAAAGTTTTCAGATACACAAAAATGAAGACTCATGAAATCCACACAGACAGAAACAAATGAACCCCACCCAGCAACACCAATAAGTCAAGCAAATTGAAACTTGCACAGGTGAATCAGAAAAACACTCTTGACTTTGTTTCTTTCAAGAGAAATAATGAACCATAACACAGACTGCTCAAAACTTTCTCAGTAACCCATGTATTTATTTACATGATTTTGCACAAGTAAGTCTAACGGGTATGCTATGGGGTAAACGTAAATCTCTAATTCCTTCTCCCAAAACACAAGTTAAAAAAGAAATGAGAGACTTTCGCTTCCAAGAACACGCTATGAATGTACTTTTTCCTATTTTTTCTAAGTCAAACAAAAAATCTTAGGCATTATATATAAAAACATAAGATTCTGAAAGGTGAAAAGAAGGTAGACCCAAGAACAATACAGTAGTTAAAGTTCCATGAGTTCTCCTTTTGTCTCAAATATCCCAGACTTTGTAGGAGTCAACAAGTGTGTGTGTGGGAGGGTGCAGAGGAACCAAGGAAAGTTAGTTCTCTCTAGCCAAAGGATAGGGACAAGGGCAACCTAAGACAGAAAGTTTGGGACAATAACTGCTCTACTTCACTCCAACGATCCTAAAAAAACTGTATCTTCTCCCCCAGTCTCGCCCTGCCACCAAAAGAAAGTGATTAAACTGGATTTCCACCCTAGAGTGAGGTAATAAATAATATAGCATCTCACTCACTGGTGTTGGGTCAGAGAAGGCTAACTAGGCCATAATGCTGTCAATGAAGACCACCTATGGAATCTAGACCTCTACCCATAGGAGGCAGTAATATAAATATAGTGCTACTTACACCCTCTTCTCCTTGCCTGGCATAAAAGGAAACCTAGTAGAAAGGCAGGATGTTTCCCATTGTCTAGACAATCACTCTTACTACAGTGCCACTGGAGACCATGTGGCTAAGGAAACAGCTCTGACTCTAGATTCTAGATTCTAGATTGCAGATCTGTGTCTCTGCTTTCATAATCCAATATGTAAGAGGAGAGCCCTCAAAGGTTATGATCTAAAACAGTACTAAGGACTTCAAAGAGTTCTTGCTTATCCCTATAAATATTAGAAATCTTAGAAATTAAAACTGAGAAACTTTTAAAACAAAGAACACACAAATACACATTCCATCAGTGAGAGTAATGACACCTCGCAAATCAAGTAACCTCTGGAAAATGCCACTGTATGCTCCTAAGAGGGTGAGTGCAAAAAAGGCAAATAACATCTTACAATTATAATTATTATAAAAACAATTCTGGCCTTGTAGATACCTTGCAAGAATCTCATGGATTTCTGGCCAACTTTGCAAACTGCTGCTACAGAGATATTATCCACATGATACTGTACCATAAATTACAAGGCATAACCAGCAAGAAATAAAGTTAGAGCAGTAGGGGAAAAACCAACCCCAGAAGACCTTATAGAGTCCTCATATTCAAAGTATGATCTAGGGTCCACCAAACAGCATCTCTATCTCCTTGGAACTTACTAGATATTCAGAACTTCAGGCCCCACCCTAGGCCATATGAATCAGAACCTTTAACAAGACTATAGGTGATTCACAAGCACATTAAAGTTTGAGAAGAACTGCTGTAAACCACAGAAAATAACTGGGACTTTTTATACCATCCTGAAAGCAATAAAAAGCCTATTACGAGAAATCAAATACCATGTAAAAGTTATGTTAATTAATATCCAAAGAACATTTCACCTAAACAAAACACCACTACAGTCACAACTACATAATATTTGGTTATCATTTTTAGAAATAAATGCTTCTTTTGATCTCTTATAGAAATCAAAGCTTCAAAATTAAACATTTTTTCAAAATATTTAGTAGCAAGAATCAACACGTATTAGCTTCGGCTTGGTGCCAATTTAAAATTCCTAAGATATTACCAGGCCATTATTCTTCCATCAACACTTTCTTTTTACCACTCATCCTCTATTCCCTTCTCAACTACTGAGAAGTAATTTATTAATTATACAAGAGTACAGAGAAAGCACTATTTTTTGGTTCTCCCAACATTAAATGTTCTTTTAGACACTGCTTTTATTAATGCTTAATATATAATCTTGCCGTTAGCAGGCACTCAGACATCAGCTGACTGTTATGTACAAGGGAAAATGTGATGTGCTTCCCACAATGAATGTGAGATTCTATACTACACAGAAGACAGTACACTGGAACGCTACATGATGACAATGTTTTTCATTTGCCGAGCATGATGTGAGATTTGCAGTTTGCTATTAGGTTGCCAAGGTAACTTGCATCTAACAGATGCTGAAGGAGCCTACCTTTTAAAATAAGAATCAATTTTTAATTTAATGACAGATTTTCAAAAACAGATATATATGTCCAGAGAGTTAAACACAAATTAAAATAGCAAAATTGTTTACAATAGACTAATGAGACCCATTTACAGATTCAATAGGAGACCTATTTACAAAAGAAAAAAAAATGCTCCTCTGGGAGTTTCAGTATATCCATAAAGCTCTTCATGGTTTTAATATCTGCTTATTTAGTTATTTATAATTTAAAAAATCCGAATTAAAAAACATAACATTTCTCCCTTACAGGAAAACAATGAATATCATCAATAAAATGATAAATTCAAGAAGAAAAATCAATAACCATGAGTTTATTACAACACGTAAATGAATAGGAAATGAGACCAAATCCCTTTTAACAGAATTCTAAATTTTAAAAATTAGCTAATAATTCATACTTTCCATTAACATCAAAGGAACTTAGAGTAGTAACAAACAAAATAGAATTATGAATAGAAAACAGTGCTTTTGTTTTTTAAAAATGGCAAATTACTGTTATTTCTGGATCTGCCCTGGCCTGGGTGTACCTCCTCCCCAATTCCTCTCTTCCCACCACAATAGACATTTATTCTAAATTAAACTCTCATTTTTAACGTACTGAATTAGTACACTGCTTTAAATATATCATGAAGTCTTGAGATTCACTAGATAAGAAATATATATATTTATATAAAAAAATTCATAGGTTCACTCATCAAAAATTTCAGGATTTGCAGAACATGGTACTTCAGTTAACAAAACTTGAACACTTTGTGTTTTGAAAACATTTCTGTGGCCTCAACGTAGAGGACAGATGAAACAATAAGAAAAGCAGCAGAAGAGTTTCTAAATGATGAGGGGCTAAACAAAAGCAGTGTTAATATGAGAGATGAAAGGAAGACATGACCTCAACAGATTTAAAAGACTAGGTTAAAGGCTTGGAGCCCATGGCTCAGTGGTTAGAGCAGATGCCACATGCTCTGGGGCTCGTGGGTTCAGACCCAGCCCTGCTAAACAATAACAACAACAAAAATAGCCAGGTGTTGTGGGGGCTGCCTGTAGTCCTAGCTACTTGGGAGACTGAGGCAAAAGAATTGCTTAAGCCCAAGAGATTAAGGTTGCTGTGAGGTGTGATGCCACAGTACTCTATTGAAGGGGTCATAGTGAGACTCTGCCTCCAAAAAAAAAGACTGGGTAAGATGAGTACGCTGAATTAACATTTATCGAATATCTATGTACTTAACTTTAGAGGTGAACACTATTTCCTTTGATCCTCAATTCTTATGAGATAAATATTTCTTATGTAAAAGGGGAAACTGAGGCTCACGTGAATAACGTGACCTTATGTAGCTATGACTTTGCTGAAACTTATAAAGGCTTACATAGCTATAAATTAGCAAAGCCAAGATCCAAGATCAGGTTTGTCAAAACCCAAAGTCAAGGCTCAGTGCCTGTAGCTTAAGCCACCAGAGTGCCAGCCATATACACCTGAACTGGCGGGTTTGAATCCAGCACAGGCCCACCAAACAACAATGACAACTACAACCAAAAAATAGCCAGGCGTTGTGGCGAGTGCCTGTAGTCCCAACTACTTGGGAGGCTGAGGAAAGAGCATTGCTTAAGACCAAGAGTTATAGGTTAAAACCAAGCTAGAGGTTGCTGTGAGCTATGATGCCACAGCACTCTCCCCAGGGCAACAGCTTGAAACTCTGTCTCAGAAAAAAAACAAAAAAAAAAAGCTAAAGTCAAACCTCTTTAATGTCCAAGTTCCTACTGGTATAAACAACTTAGTTTAATTGACAGTTTAATTATTCATAGGTTGTGATACTGGCTATTAATCCATTCTTCATTCTCTGATTATCCTCCATTAAAACTGACAAAAATATTTTATAATCACATGCCCCTCTAAGACAACCAATAAGGTCAATCAGAACTTTGAGCTTGCTTTTTAAAATTTCAATTTGTGTTTCATCTTCACACTTAATGAAATGGCCAAATGCCATCATAAGCAGACAGAACAGGTTTAGTGAGGAGGAAGGAAGTTTATTTTGTTTGAAAACAGAATCTGATATATTCCTAAAATACTGAGATAGAAAGGCCAGTAAGCAGTAAAGTAGGGGAGGATTTGCCAGCAGAACTAAGAAAACCAAATTTGGTAATCAAGGAAAGCATGCTAAGTGAGAAAAAATGTAACTTATTTAACTAGTGAAGCAAAAATGCTAACATTGATATAAGTGACTACCGGTGACCTTCCGTCAGTTGGACAAGTTTGTGTTCAATTATGAAAAATATAATGCATATTCACATGGTAAAATTTTGAGCCTTATTAATTCTGAAAGTAAGCCAAGTACATTTTTGATTAATTTTCCTAAATGTAGTCTAAAATTGTGATTTAGGCAGGTTTTATCTAAAATTCTACAGACTAGGCACTCAGCAAAATAAACCTTTAGGAAATAAGATTTACGATTCACTATAACAACTTTGACACGCCATTTGACAGGTTCAATACTTAATGTTTTAGACTAATTGTGGATAGATACAGGTTATCTAAAGTTCTTTTCCCATCTGCCTCCACATATTTAAAAATCCTGTTAGATACAGTCATACCTCAGTATCCATGAGAGATTGGTGATTTGATACACCACCTCCCTCCCAGATACCCAAATCCACAGATGCTCAAGTCCCTTAGATAAAATGGCATAGTATCTCCATATAACCTATACTTTTTTTTAATGTAAAGTTTTTTGTTTGTTTGTTTGTTTTGAGACAGAGTCTCACTATGTCGCCCACAGTAGAGTATCGTGGCATCACAGCTCACAGCAACCTGAAACTCTTGGGCTTAAGCGATTCTTTAGCCTCAGCCTCCCAAATAGCTGGGACTACAGGCGCCCAGCTATTGTTTTGTTGTAGTTGTCATTGTTGTTTAGCTGGCCTGGGCTGGGTTGGAACCAGTGAGCCTAGGTGCATGTGGCCAGCACAGTAACCACTGTGCCACAGGCGCTCAGCCTAACCTATACTTTTAAGTCATTTCTAGAATACCTGTAATACCTAATAAAGGCAAATGCTGTGTAAACAGTAGTTATATTGTTTTGGGAATGACACCCCCCCCCAAAAAAATCCATGCATGTTCAGTACAGATGCAACCACCCATATTTTTTTTCCCTCTAGCATATTTTTGATCACTTGGTTAAGCAACATACTAGTGCTCTCCAAACATTTTGTACTTGCACCCATTAAAGAAGTATTGAATACACATTCCAATATAAAACTATTATTGTGGATATGTCACACACTAATATAAATTACATGATGTAAATCTAAGTGGAATTTCTATTAACATGCTCCCTCCACATCTGCATACCCATGGATCTAACTGCAAGCCACTGCAAATGCTACTGTAAATTTTAAGACTACACAAGGGAATTTGTAAAAGTCCAAAGTAGCTTGTCTTTAACAGTGGCTGTCTAGTCTGTTCACGAAACACGCAGAGAGAAAAAAGAGCTCACCTAACTTATGTCTTCAGGTTTAAACATCAAATAGTTGCTCTTCTAAGAAGTATCACAGTATTATCTCAAGTCCTATTGGTTCTACAATCCTTTCTCTACCCTGGAGTCTTGTTTTCCGTCCCTAAATTAGGGAAAAGAAATGCCATCAAAAAACCTTCAAACATCACGATTTAATTTTTCTAGATAACACAGTTTGGGTTTTCATGAAACTGGGATTAACGACAAATCCAATTTGATATTTGCATACACCCTTTAGACACACATAAGTTGTTGCCCTTGAGGTTATCAGCACGCACGTGACAAGACCCACTTCCTGACCCCAACTTCACCCCAGACCCCAACCCTCAAGCTCTTGACCAAAACCCCGGGGCCATCTGAGGACGAAGGGGCCCCGCGCCTACAGCCAAGTTTCCCGCGGCTGAGAAGACCTGAGCCGTAGGCGAAGAGCGCGCGAAGATCCCTCCAGACGCCGAGACCACTCGAGAGACCAGTGCCTCCCGTCCGGGGCCGCCGGGGCAACCCTGGACACCGCCGCAGCTCCGAAGACCCGGCCGCTCCCAGGTGGGCTGGGGGTCACCAGCCGAGAGGGCGCGGGCGGGGATGAACCCCGGGGCTAAAGAAAGCGACAGCGCGCGCCTTCACCCTACCGCCAACAAGTCGAAATCTCCCAAAGGAACCCGATCGGCGGGCCTGTCGTGCGACCGAAGCTACGGCCAACCTGGGGGCGTCTCGGCCTGGGCTCTGCGCCGTTAGCCCGCAGGGAATCGCCCGCCAGCCAAAGAAAGCAGGAGTCCGGCCGCCCGGGCGCCCGCCGCGGGACGGTCCGCGCCTGCGCCCCGCCCTCCCTCCCCCCGGGACTCCGCCCGCGCCTGCGCAGTTCGGGGAGTTCGCGCCACTGGCATCCAGGAGAAGGGGCCGGAAGTGCCCCTGAACCCGAGCGGGTAGATACGCGGTCTGTGGGCTGTCAGACGTGAGGGAGGAGGGTGATTTGCCTAAGTGAAAGGGAAGATAACAGAGCGCCCCAGCAACAGGTCCACGCATGCGTCCACCGGGCCGGCTGGAAGCCGGGAACGGAAAGTCGCGAGCGCTGCTCGGGCGGGAGAACCCGGACAGTCACTTCCCGGAAGGGGCGGGCCGCACTGGCGAGGGCGCCGAATTCGAATCCTTTCAAGTAGCTTCCCGGCCGGGCCGTTTTGCCCCTGACGCTAATCTTCCTTTGGAAAGGAAAGAGGACTTTTTCCTTTTCAGAAAACACAGAAACTTGGAGGCAGCAGTAGTTAGGATTCAGGCCAAAGTGGTAAATGACGAAGGGTCTTCTTCCAAAACCAAGGAGGAAGGGTTGTCCGGGTAAGTCCCACGGGGACGGTGAAGAGGTGGCACCGCTGGGGTCCTTCTACTAGTTCTTTTGACACTCTGAGTTAGGAGCGACCTTTGTGTTCGTCGCCCCTCCAAAAACGGCGGCTCCCTTTGAAAAAAGTAGAAGTTCGAATCGAGCCTCCGGGCGACGATCTGGCCCTCGCTCCCGGAGCCTGGCCTCTCGCACCAGCCCTGCGGGCTGCCTCCACCGGGAAAGAATGCCTGGTCCTCCAGCCGCTGTGCGCTGGTCCTTGGCGGCTGGGCCCAATTGTCCTTTTCCCGGCACACGGTGGAGCTAACTCCCACGCCTCGTTAAGGACATTCCGAGTGATCCCTCCCTCCGGCAAACTTGGTGTTCTCTTTAACGTGTTATCATTGTATTTTAGTACTGAATGTACTATGATCATAAAAAAATACTGTATTGGAAATAGTTCAGTTGTAATAGTGAATAAGACTTTGTAGTTAATTAATTTACAGTCTTACTTTCCCGTGCGCTAGCCAAGCTCCTAAATGAATACCAGAACTAATGAAGTTTAACTTGAAGTTATTAACTTTCAGAGCCCTTCCTAACCAAGCACTAATTTGCCCCTTCAGTCTTTTCTCGACCGTTAGCAGTAATGTGCTCATGTTGCCGAGTAACTTGTTTTCCATACTTCAGAATCTTCTGGATGAGGAAAAAATGGCATTTACTACCACCTCCACCCCAAATAAATTGATGTTTAACCTCTGGCCCCTAGCAATGGAAATCCTTCCATCAGAGTCACCTTTTATTTCTAATAGTAACCAATTATATATATATACACACACACACACATACACACACACAGTAAAATCTCCATAGTTGACCATTTCCCTGCACTGCCCACCTCCTTAAGTTGACCTAATTTTCATAGATGTAAATGCACCACATGTAGTACAATTCGGTAGGCCCAGTTCCTTATGTTGACCACCTCTCTATATTGACCAGTCTCTTATGTCTTTTGGGTGGTCAACTTCCATAGTTTCTACTGTATAATCTTCCTATTGTGGTCCTTGTTGGTAACCAATAGGAAACGCAGTTGGGAAGTCTCTACTTAGATGTCACTTCCTTCAGGAAGCCTTCCTTGAGGCCCAAGATGAGGTAGGGCACCTCTTTTTAATAAAATTCTATCTTGTTCTTCTTACCTCAGGCCTTGTACACAGAACACTGTTGTAATGCTCTTTTAATTTGCAGTCTTGACTTACCCTACACTAAGGTTCTTTAATGCAGAGCTTGATCTTTCATTATAGAGCTCCAGCACCTAGAAACATTCTGGGTAAATAGCAGGCATTTGATAAGTTTTTAAAGATAACAAGTAAGTTAAGCTTGGGTTATATTATGCCTGAAAGTTTAGGATAAATTCATATGAAAATAAAGCTGAAAAAATAATTTTAAAGTATTAATTGGTGAAATTATGAGTTAAATCCCATACAGTACAATCTTTCACTTAAAGTTTACACCATTTTTCAAATTATTGTATGAAATTTGCTCATCTTAATGAGAATTAGAAAATTTAAGTATTTCCTGCTTTATTGTCAGATTTTCTTTTCTAATGTTTTTGCCTAAAGTTAAAATAAATGGAAATCTGTTGCTTTAATAAAATGTGTGTTTTTATAGTAAATCAAATCACTGACCTCTTTTTATGTTCTTTAAATTTGATTCATTAGTGGAATTAACAAGGTTCTGTATTTTTCTCACCTCATTCAGTTTTATAATTAACCAATAAAAGCTTATTAGCTTTTAAGGAAGTTTTAGAAAGCATAAATTGATTTATGGGCACCATATGGTTACATCAAAGGATTTGTTTTAACTTGAAGTAGATTTTTAACCCCTTTCTTGAAGCTAAAAATTTATGTTCTTCCTACGAAGCAATAATTTCTAAAATGGTGGGGGGTTTTTTATTCCATACTACCAAAATTGGTCATTAGATTGAAGAGATATTAGAATCTTGAAATTCATCTGGTTTATTTTAATACCTCCCATTTTGTAGAAAGGTTAAATGTCTCCCCAGGTCGTACAGCTCATCAGGAGTGTACCCAAAACCAAAATCCTAGACTTTCTATTGCAAGTCCAGTGCTTTTTTCACTAAATTAAATAAATTAAAGCCACTAATAAGATATAAAGTTGTTTGCTATGTGTTCTTTGTTGACTGATGTAAGTAAGCTAAATAAATTGAAGCCATTAATAGGTTATAAAGTTATTTGCTATGTGTTCTGACTTTTTTGATTCACATTAAGAATTCTGTGTCACAAATAATTCTTAGGAATTTCGGAGATGTTAGGAGACTTTTTACATTTAATATATATTTTTTGTATTAGGGATAGACAGGGAACAGGGTGAGAGAAGGAAAATTAGAAACAACAATAACAAAAAGAGAGAACCAACAGATGGTTCCTGACAGAGCGGAAACTGCTTAACCCAAGATGCTTCAGCTAAAAGAACTCCTTTTAGACAATAGGACCCCGGAGATGGTTGCATGTTATACCATAAGAGCTAGGTGTCAAACCACAAGAGCACTGTGTTTTATGATGACAATATAGTCCCTCTGACAGTTTTGACATGACCAGATCGACATGAATAAAATTACTACGTTGCAAAAATTTTGAGTAGGGACTCACCAAATCTCACACCACAAATTTCACCCTATTGACAAAATTATATATAGTTTTTAGTGGACTTGATAATGCATAGTGTTGTAAATTTTAATGCTGAACTGTTTTCAAGCAACTTCATCAGGTTGATTATTACCTCATACAAGAACCATCTGTTCTCTCTTTTGAGTGCAGTCTCCTAATATCTCTAAAACTGTTGCATTCTGTCCTTTGTTGGTATTTTATGTGCTTTTACAGTCTTAACCATTGCTACTTAATATCACTTTGGAGGAAAGCTGATGCAAAGACAATATAGCAAAAAATAGATAATGGAAATAGAAATTTTGAACTAGCTGCATTTTTTTTTTTTTTTTGAGACAGAGTCTCATGTTGTCACCCTTGGTAGAGTGCCATGCTGTCATAGCTTATAGCAAACTCATGCCTCAGTCTCCCAAGTAGCTGGGACTATAGGCACCCATCACATCACCCAGCTACTTTTTAAAGGCAGGGGTCTCACACTGGCTCAGGCTGTTCTCGAATTCTGAACTCAAGAAATCCACCCGCCTTGGCCTCCCAGAGAGCTAACAGACATAAGGCACCGAGCCCAGCCTGGATTAACTGCATTCTTAAAGTATGGTAACTCTTTTTAATAAAATATACATTTCACCTAAGTTTCCTTTTTCAGAACTATTGAAGTATCCTTTTAATGTTCTGCCTTTATGAGTATTCTTCAGAACGAACATGTATTTTTAACTTTAAACAACTTAGGTTGTGGCTTTATCAAAGATAATGCTTAAATAGTATTTTAAAGGAACATATTACATTTGGAACACATACAATTTTATATTAACATTTGCATTTTCTAAGTGTTTATAAGATAGTCACCATAAATAGAGAAAAGATAGGTCACCTGCATGGAACTTCACTATTAACAGAAAGATGATGATTTTAACATGGCTTAAGCTTTTTAAAAAGATCACTCTGCCTGGCGTAGGGAGAATGATTATGTGGGAGTTGGAGATGATAAGTGGAAGCAAAGAGGCCAGTTATATACAGGGCATGCTCGGGAGTATCATTAGAAATAGGGATCTAGGATGTATTTTGGAGATAAAGGACTAGCTGATCAACTTGATATTCTGGAGCAAAGAGAATAATCCAGAATGACTGAAGGGTTCTGGTCTAAGCAGCTGGGTATTTGGGAAAGTCTAGGGGTGGAATAGTTTTGAGGCGAGGTGATGAATCAAGAATTAGATGCATCCATGTGAAGATAAAAGGCAAACATTCTAGTCAGGAGCTCAGGGAAGATGTCAGGTAATGTGGGGTAAATAATATTGGAGGAGGACAGGAGAATACCTACCCCTAACCCCTTAAACACTGTCGCCTGGTATGGTGTTAGTCCATTAATTTTTAGTAAAAAGTAGTGAAGGCATTATAGAGTCTTGGAGTAATTCAGGAAGGTCTATATGAAATTTATTAATGGGAAGTTACTGAAGGACAAAAATAATTCAGTGAAGCATGGCATGAAGATAAGATAGCTGCCATTAAAATTTCCTCTTGATTCCTATCACTTAGAGTGAAGAGTAAGCATATTCCACGATAGCAGGTCTTTTGTGCTTATTAAAGAAACATGGCATGGCATTACTGCTTTAGAGGTGTGTGCTTAGAGATCAAAAGAAAGACTAACCTTTTTCAAATCCATTGCAGCAGATAGATGGTGACTTTAGGTTATCAAAGTAGATTAAAAGGCTTTGAGATAGATTTAGGAATATGGTAACCAGAAGGACTGGCAATAAAAGACATTTTTCTAGAAAATGTCACATAACTAAGGGAAAGTGGAGAGGAGAATACTTTAGCACAGAATGAAATTCCCATTTTACTTTCTTGGAACCAACAGATAATTCTGTTGCAAACAGTTTCTTTTTTTTCTTGCCTATGTTATTTATACCAGTTGTCTTTAGCCATTATTATAGCTCTGTAGTCTTTAGTTATATTTTTAAAATGTAGCCAAAATAGATGTCCTAGGTAGACCTAGGTTGATGTCCCAAGTAGACATGGTTCAACTACCATTGCTAGTTATTTTATAACCATGGTTAGTCATTTTTTAAACCTGTTGTTTCTGACAAAAGAAACTAATGTGATAAATGAAGTTTTATATGTAATAATCATGTTATGCAAGGGACACTGCAAAAGTTTTGAGGTACACAAAAATTTAAAAATGTAAAATCATTTCAATTACTGTATTTTCTCAAAATAATCACAACATTCTATGCACTTTTGCATTCTTGTAAACTATTTTGAAAACACTCCACCATTTTTTTCAAGTGCAGTCTGTAAGCTCACTTTTGTAGGAGTAAACAGCTTCAGGGCTGAAGAACCTTCTTCACATGCAATTTTTGACTATAAAAAACAGGAAACAATCACATGGAGCCAGATCAGGACCGTAAGGTGGGTAAGTCATAAGTTTAACCTCTGTGGACTCTAGGAACTAAATGGTAATATTGGCTATGTGGGCGGACACATTGTCATGGTGGAAGATGGTCCCCTGCAGTGCAAAATGGCCACTATTCTTGAGGCTTCCAGAAAACTTCTGGCAGGCATACTGTTGTGTACCACTGAGCAGTAAAGTCCTTTGTTCCCCCAGAGGAACAGTTGTAACATGATTGCTTTTGGAGAAGAAAATTGCCACCATTTTCTTTCTGACACTACAGAGCTGCTTCTCTTTTGATAGTGGATTTTTGTTGATAAATATCCACACTGTTGACTGATGCTTATTCTCTGAATCCGACTTCATCACCAGTCATGATGTCAGAAATGCATCTAGACTTGGCTTCCTGGAATCTGACCAGCATTTCTTCACACCGTTCAACAGGGATGCAGTTTTGCCCATCAAAGTGTGAGGCACTCATGGGGATGAAATTTTCCTGACTCAAAAATAATCATGCAGGATTTTGGACACTGCCGGTGATCCAATCTGTAGGGCTACTTCAGTGCCCTTAAATGTCACTAGATTATTTCTGTGAACCATATTTTCCACCACAGTGGTGTTTTCCTCAGTCACTGGGGTCACCAGATACCCATTCCTCACCTTGTCTTTCAATGATGTTTGGCCTCTTCTAAATTCTCAAAACTGCTGAAAAATTGTCACATGGGAAGGAGTAAGCTTGAAAGCCCACTGCAAATGCTCAAGCCTTTGAGACTCCTTTAACCCACTTATAAAAACATAGAAAATCATCTCAGGAAAATGCTCTCCTCTTAGCTCCATACCTGAGGCCTACAGAGCACTGCCCAGGTGAAACAAATGAAGCCTTCTCATCAACACAGATAAGCTGAGCAAGGTGAAATTTGCACTCACTGGTGAATCAGAAAGGACACCACTGTCAACTGTATTATCTTGGAAGTGAAATGATGGACCATAACATGGTCTGTCTCAAAACTTGTAGTGACCTTTATATTAAAGATATTTGTAGGTTTAGTTTAAAGTCCTCTTTATCTTGCTCAAGGAATCCAATAATACAATCAGTTTGGGACTTTTTTTTACAGGAATGGCTATCCCTAGTGAAAAAGATATTTCATTAGAGTATAGTATGATAACTATTATACTTGAAATATTTTGAGGACTACAGTTTGTAAAATCAAGAATCTACCTCATCTGTATTTCCTAGAAGGATTAGAATTTACATCATAGTCCTATGTAAAATATGTTTATGTGGGCCATCATAAAAAAACATTGTACTCAGTGGCACTTTTTGTTACCATTTAATGTCAAGACCATTTATATGTAGTCAACTTACATAATGAAGCACTGGAGACATGGTAGGAATGACTGAACCTTTGAATTGGAAGGACCAGAGAAAAGATGTACCTTGCCCAAGTTTATACAATCAGTTCTTAAGGACTAGGCAATCTGAAGGAAACTAGCAAATGTGAATCTCTCTTCCCTCAGAAAGTTAAATTGTAGGGAGGTGTTGTGGCAGGTGCCTGTAGTTCCAGCTACTTGGGAGGCTGAGGCAAGAGAATCGCTTAAGCCCAGGAGTTAGAGGTTGCTGCTGTGAGCTGTGTTTGTCAATTTCAGTATCCAGTGTGAGTCACAAAAGGAAAACTATCAACAACAATTTCTCCCTCAGATTTTGTTCCTGAGTTTTGCGTGTTCTGATGATTAACACTTTAAATGTCTTATTTCCCTTCATAATAATGCCTTAGAAAATACATGCACCCCTACGCTTTGTCCAGAATTGATCATAGCTTTCCACATTAACTGAATCTATGACACAATGCTACACTCAACAAGTAGGGCTTTATTATGTGTAATAGATAATATTAGCACTGGGCCACCATAAACTACAGAATGTTTTCTTCCTTGTGGTTTAAATATGTGTATTTTTCTTTGTAAACTAGCATCCGTGAGTGTTTCTGCACTTTATAAAAATGAATGTGTAAAATAATACTTTGGTGCACTGGCCACATTATAAAATTAAGATTGAGAAAAATGACAACAATACTTCCAACATTTATTTTCATTGCACCCATTTCAGAAATTGCAGCAATTTCAGAAAAATGACTTTTAAAATGAACTCCGTTAAAGGTACAATTCAGTACTCTTTATTCATAAGGTGTCTGCATAAAGGTGATAACCTTTTGATTTAATACATTTTTATCTCCTTCTGTTTTTGGAAATTAAAGTCATTCATAAGATAATAATCTGAACTGTGTGTGTATAGTCAAACTGACTCCTCACTGCAAATTCCACACAATATCTTTGTCAAATAATAACAAAAGAAAAGCAGATATAGAAGTTTAATAAGGAAAAGCTGGCCTCCAAAGTATGTTAACAATAGCAGAGTTGAAGCTAAAATCACTTTTAAAATATCATCTACACAGAAAAAAGTTTAACATTAGTTTGTTTTTTTTTTTTGATGGGGGAACTATATATGACTTTAAAGTGTTTTCTTTAAATTTTTATATTTCCTCAGTGAACACATTACCCTGCAATTTAAGAAGCTAATGCTTTTTTTTAAAAAAGATATTCCATGTACCTCTAACTCTCCATTTCCAGTTTCTTGTTTCTTCTCCCCTCACTTTTCTACCAACATTTTTCTTCATTAACCTCCTTAATTTCTTTAGTTTATTTGCCTATTTGCATGTTTCCTTACGTTTGGTTTTTATTTTTCCTGACTATGATGGAGAACTATTCCCATTCTCTTTTAGGTCTGTATCAAAGAGTGAATTCTCAAGTAGACGAAAATGATTTCAAGCTTTGTTGTATTTTCTACCCATCTCTACATTTGTTAGCTGTTGTTATTAGCTAAAACAAAGCAAGTTACTACCATTTTTAATGTTTCTGATCTTCTTAATTCATTTTGAAAAGCTGACCAATGAAAGAAATAAGAATTCTCTGTGAATTTTCATGAACTGGCTCATAATATATTGTTTGAATTCCTGCTCTGAATTCCTGTTTCTTTTAACAGTATTTTATAAAGTTTGTTTCAAATAACAGCAGATAATCACCAGAATGGGAGTGAATGACTTGTGGCAAATTCTGGAACCTGTTAAACAACACATCCATTTACATAATCTTAGTGGGAAAACCATTGCAGTTGATCTGAGTCTCTGGGTATGTGAGGCACAGACAGTTAAAAAAATGATTGGAACCGTCATGAAGCCCCACCTCAGGTAGAGTAAAAGCTATTGCAGCAGAAATGTATTATTGTATATGTGATGTTGCATCTTGGTTTTGTTTCAATTTTTCTTTTTTGTTTGTTCTTTAATATTTTGGAGTTTTCAAATATATATATATAACATGTCAAGATCTGCCATCTTTGTATTGATGCTTTGCAGATTTGTGCCTCTTAACTCTTTGAGTTTCAGAGTCACATAATCTATCTCTGGCTTAACATACCCACTAGGATGTGTCAGTTACTTAAAGCCGGAAACTAGGGACACGCTGTCTATTCGGCCTCTTCCTATCATCCAGTCCACCATTCCGTCTTGCCAGTCGCACTTCCAAAATACACTTTGTGTTCACAGACTTCTCTCAGTGTCCAGAGCCACCACCTCAGTGTGTGCCAGCCTTATCTCCATCTGTACTGCTGGAATGCCACCTTCCCTAGCTTCCCTCCCTCTGCTCTTGGTCTCCTACTCTAAACCATTTTCCACCTAGCAATTAGAATCATCATAAATCTCTCTTGCTTAAAAATATTCAGTGGTTTTCTACTCTCCTTAAAATCTTAACAAATGGTTATTGCATATAACATTTTAGTTACCAATGTTCTTGCCTTTATGTCATATTGCTATTTTGACTTTTGCTATCAGTATACAATGATTAATATATGACTAATCTATATATATTTCAGGAACCTATTTTTTCGTATCTCATATTTAATGCAAATGAATGTAAAATTGGTTTTTGTTATGGAAGGGGAGCCACCAAAGCTGAAAGCAGATGTCATGAAAAAGAGGAATGAGATTCGGTATGGGCCTTCTGGAAAAACATGGTCTCAAAAAACAGGGAGATCACATTTTAAATCACTGTTAAAAGAGGTAAGCATTCAGATTCGATTCAATGATTCTGATTTGAATTAAAGAATACATTTTACTCTAATAAGTTTGTTATTTGTCATCTTTAATACTCTTTAACCTTATTGTGGCTAGATGGCCAATATAGATAAAGAGTTTATAGTTTAGTAAAACTGACCTGAGTTCAAATCCTGACAATATCATTTGAAAACTTTGAGACACGGGACAAGATTTCTAGTCTGTCTCTACCTCTACCCTCTACCGTGTAAAATGGGGCTAGGGGTGTTCTGCAGGGATCTGATAAAAGTAGAGAAAATATAATTTAAAGCAAATAGTACGTAGTAGGTATATAATCTTAATACCTTTTCTAACATCTTTAGTACTTCAAGAATTCCCAGAATAGGGCAGTGCCTGTGGCCCAAAGAAGTAGGACGCTGACCCCATATACTGGAGGTGGTGGGTTCAAGCCCAGCCTTGGCCAAAAACCTGCAAAAAAAAGAATTCCCAGAATACATAAGATCTCATGAATTTATATTCATTCAGAATTCATGATAGTTGATATATAGAATACATATTTGACTTTGCTTGGGGCTTATAATTTTATTTATTTATTTATTTTCCTTTTTTTTTTTTTTTTTTTTTGAGACAGAGTCTTACCATGGCACCCTTGGTAGAGTGCTGTGGCATCACAGTTCACACCAACCTCAAACTCTTTTTGTTAATTATTTTTTAGAGACGGAGTCTCACTTTGTCACCCTCGGTAGAGTGCTGTGGCATCGCACAGCTCACAGCAACCTCCAACTCCTGGGCTTAGGCAATTCTCCTGCCTCAGCCTCCCAAGTAGCTGGGACTACAGGTGCCCGCCACAACACCTAGCTATTTTTTGTTGCAGTTTGGCCAGGGCTGGGTTTGAACCCACCACCCTTGGTATATGGGGCTGGCGCCGTACTCACTAAGCCCCACCCCTGAGGCTCCAACCCAACCTCAAACTCTTAGGCTTAAGTGATTCTCTTGCCTCAGCCTCCCAAGCAGCTGGGACTACAGGCACCCCCCACAATGCCTGGCTATTTTTTGGTTGTAGTTGTCACTGTTGTTTGGCAGCCAGGGGCTGGATTCAAACCGGCCAGTTCTGGTGTATGTGGCTGACACCCTAGCTGCTGAGCTACAGGCACCGAGCCAGGGCTTGTAATTTTAAAAATGAATTGTGCAGCTCTGCACCTGTGGCTCAAGTGGCTAAGGCACCAGCCACATACACCTAAAGTGGTGGGTTCAAATCCAACCCACCACTGCCAAGTAACAATGACAGCTGTAACCAAAAAATAGCCAGGCATTGTGGCGGGTGCCTGTGGTCCTAGCTACTTGGGAGGCTGAGGCAGGAGACTCGCTTGAGCCCAGGAGTTGGAGGTTGCTGTGAGCTGTGATGCCATGGCACTCTACCCAGGGGGACAGCTTGAGGCTCTGTCTCAAAAAAAAAACAAAAATGAATCATGCTACATTACAAAGTATTATTTATACATTACTTATTATATTGGTATGTTTTAGATTTTTATAAAAGTTAAGAAGTGAAATCACCTAATTACATTATACATTATTCTGATGTATAATTAGAATAATAGGAAGCTATTATTTTGTTTGTCTCTTTTCAAATGTATATATATTTAAAGAATTGTACACAGATTTTTTTATCATGGCTTTTCATGTAAAATATCATGCCCATATTCCCTGTTGCCACACTCTAGTTGAAGTCATAACTCATAATGGCTGTTGTGCAACACTTAGGAAGTTGTGAATCATTCTTCCAATTGTATGTATCATTTGCTTTTCTAGATTTTCTCTTTTACACATGAAACTACAATGAAGCTTTTTTGGTGTATATAGCTTTTTCTTGTGCTTTGGGATTTTAGATAATATTACTAAAAGTTGCATTGATAGACCAGTGTTTTGAAATGACTTTATAACTCTTGAGACACCCACAAGAACATTGGGTATTAGGAGATTGATCTTTGTAGTATTCAGTGTGCAGCAACAAAGATATTTCATTTAATATGTATCAGCCTTTTAATGTTGAGGTTAAGCATTTCACCTACTTTTAGTCCTTTAGGTAATGACCATCATGTCCTTTACCTACTTACCTCTAAGGTTTTAATTTTTCTTTTGTGTAAGTTCTTTATATATTAGGGATGTAAACCTTTAATCATATTTGCTTTGAGTTCATTTCCCTGCTTTTCTTTGTAATGTTGGTTAAGAATTACATTTCTTTTAAAAGGCATTGCATAAACTTCATTTTTCTCCTCTTCTGAAATTTTGTCTATTTGCTGTTTGTATGTGATTTTTAAAAACAGATTTTAATTAGTGAATAGTCTACCTTAATGGCTATCAGCAGCTGAAGAAAATATCTGTGCTGGGTTCTAATTATTTCTTGTATAATCAGTTCCTGGTTCTCATACTTCAGCATTAAACAAAAAAAAGATGAAAAACTAAAAACGATATCCATCCTATCTTAAGAAAATTGCTGCTTTCCCATTTCTTTATTGCAGATAGAATTATGTTCTTCGTGATAAAGTTGACCACCCAAGGGACTGTAACAAATTAGTCGACGTAAGATGTCAGCATAGGGAACTAGGCCTCCAGTACCAATAGGTACATGTGGACATATATCTTTTATCAGTTCACTGTTTCCTGTCTATTATTTGTTTTCATATTTATGTACTCTCAGTTATTAGGCCTTACTACCTCCTAAACCACTGCCATCTTTTAGATACAACCATGAAAAGCACAAATTAGTCCTCCAAGAATACCTCCAGGCTCCATCCCAGATGAAGGGGAAGAAAAATTACAACCACCCTCATAGCAAATTCTAAGCTTATTTTTTAGGCAAATAATAATAATTTGTCATTATTCTTTAATAACAGATTGCACAAGAAACTGAAATAACTTTATCATGAAAGTATACTTTTTTATTTAAGGGTAAGGTGGAAGTAACATTTGTAACAAAACTATCTCCCTAAAGTCACCTTGTCAAAGGCCTGAAAAATAATTTCATAGTACTTTGTCTTTTTGAAACTTGTCCACCTTGGGCAACATCTGGCACAGGTCTTTATTATGTAATATAGCACACAATCATTTAGTCAAAGCAAGTGATAATATTTATTCCATCCATTTAAATACTCTTTATTCCCCCTCCATAATCAGTATTCCCAATATTAGGGAATAACAGAATAAACTAGATTGTAAGGCTAAATCACAGGCAGCTCAAATGGCTTAAAATCATAACACAAACAAAATACTTAGCAGCTTATTTGTGCATCAGCAAAATGATATAATCATCCTGCACAGACATTTGGTCTCCTGGAGGATACCAACAATTGCCCCCTATGTGATTTCCTGTAATGCAAGAGTTTCATTGCACAGGGAAGACAAGATGAGAAAAAGAAGAAAACTTTACTCAAGCCAGAACTGTGTGATAGCATCTTTTTGAGAAGCATTCACATTGGGCTGTCATGCGAAAAAAAATTTACAGTTCTCCAAATATAAATCTTAATATGATTAATTATTATTTAAAGATATTTCCAGAATCTAAAGATGATAGCATTGAACAAAACGATGAAAAACAAATTTGAATTAATTTGTAGTTGATTAAAAATACAACTCTTTATTACAGAAAATTTTAAATGAATACAAAAGTAACCTACCATCAATCTTAAATAGTTATCAATTCCTGGTTCATCATGTTTCTTCTACATCCTTACCTACTCCCCTTTTCCCACATTATTTTGAAGTAAATCCCAGCCATAATATTATATCACTCTCAGTATTTCAGTACCGTTCTAAAAGATAACTCTTAAAAAGAAACATAACCGTGTTATAATTTTTATCACACCCAACACTTTAGCAGTCATTCTTTAATGACATCAAGTATTCAGTGTTCAAATTTCTGAATGTCTTGTAAATATAGAGGAGCACCTCCATGGTTGACCACCTCCTTAAGTAAGTTGACCTCATTTTCATAGACCAGAAGTGTACCACAGTACAGCAGGCCTAGTTCCTTCTGGTGACAACCTCTTTTATGTTGACCAGATTGTTACAGACCCTTGACTAGTCAACTACAGAGGGTCCAGTCTAATTTTTAAAACATGTAAATAGCTACTATTAATAAACACTGAAATGAGCAATAAAAACATTGCTTAACTTCTTACATCTACTTGGTGTTTTCAGTGCCTTGAGATGCTAGAATGTTTAGGAATCCCCTGGGTTCAAGCTGCTGGGGAAGCTGAAGCCATGTGTGCTCACCTCAATGCTGGTGGTCACGTAGATGGCTGCCTCACCAACGATGGAGATGCCTTCCTGTACGGAGCCCAGACTGTTTACAAAAATTTCACTATGAATACAAAGGTAATTTTTTTCTTTCTCTCTTTTGCATTTGTTTACAAAATTTGTTTACCTTTTCAAAAAGATTGATTAAATGAAATAGCATATATAAAATGTTTACTGTAATACCTGGCACATAACAATTATGAAATAAAATGTTTACTGTTATTAACAAATCATTGCCACATAGTTCATTCTCTTTGAAATGTAAATTTATCTCCTAAGGACTTAACTTATTTGTCTCACATAACTTAATTATAAATAAGTTTCAATAATATATCACAAAGTTGTATATGAAATGTATTGTTTTTTGACCCAGAATTTCTAGTTTTTAGTACTTCATTCTCAGAAATTCCTACACAGGCTTGGCGCCTGTGGCTCAAGCGGCTAAGGCGCCAGCCACGTACACCTAAGGTGGTGGGTTTGAATCCCCAGCCCAGGCCCGCCAAACAACAATGATGGCTGCAACCAAAAAATGGCCGGG